TACAGATATGACAAACCCCGTTATTATCTCATCCGATAAATTAGCCTTTGGTATGGATTCAATTAATTGCCATAGACGTAAGGCAGCATCTGCCACCGTTTCCTTATTGGTCATTTGAAACTTTATAATACGATCAAAATAATCTTGCATTAACATAGGTTTAGAAAATTTTGCAAGCAACAAGTCCTTAATATTTTCCCAAGTAATAGAATCTGTTTTCAGTTTTGTTAAACATGCTGCTGCACGACCACGAAGCGCGTGAGTTAAAGCTAATAGCAAATCGGTACCTTTTAAATCCTTGTGTTTAATTATAACCTCGTAAATACTGCACCATCCTTCAATGTCTGAATCAGGGTCATCAGGGTCAAACCTGACGAGATTTGTAGTTGAATGCGGTTGCAATCCACTGGAAACACTTCTTAATACCCGCATAAATACTTCAATGTCGCTCGTGTCGGTAGATCTACATCGTTGTGTCTCGTTTATTCTCCCGGTTTCCTCGTTATCCGGTCCTTCACATCCCACTTCTGATGTCGGAAGATGGCCATAGCTAAGCTCTGTTTCCTCCGACTCAGACATGGTTAACAAAAACTAATCTACCGTGGGCGTGTACTAATAATAATCAATAATTAGAGCAATTACAAAATCACACTTTATTTTTAAACTACAATCATTTTCATTAATGTAAGACATAAAAACTAATAAAATAATATCAAATAGAATAGAACTAAATTAAAATAATATTAGCTGAGACTCGAGACACAACGATCCGTTAAAGTCGCGCGATGTCCGACAGACGAATGTGGCCCCACTTCCTTTCATTATCGCTCCAACGTTTTGTCAGCGCTCCCCTCCATTTCTTGCGCTTGTGTCTCGAGTCAATAGAATGTCTTTTATTCTATTTTGCGCCGACATGTATATGTAAATAATTGGACACAATATGTCTTCCGTTTTCCAATTACTTTTTTATAGTGGATGTCTTAATAGCCTATATGAAAAACTTCTCATTACTTAACCTAATACTTTTTTCTGTGCACTGTTTGACCGAAAAAGTTAGTAATTCGTGATCTTTATCCAATACTACTGTAGCCGTGTGGTCCCAGTATAGAATGGACCACCCCTTCCTTTCCCGTGGCAACTAAAGAAACTTATTGGTCGAGAAATGGATAGCAGTGTTCCTCTTAAAATAGCACCAAAGCTTTAATATGGTTGCCAATCCATCTGCCAAGTGTGGCAACTACTGGCAAAGCCCGCCTTTCGAGGAAGGCCTATGTTCAGCAGTGGACAGTTAACGGCTAATACAATATTAAAAAATGACTATTTTTATATCCCTTTCTTTCTATATATTATTCATTTTATATAAGCAATTAGTTTAACGTTTTTCTAAGTAATTTGTCTTTCAATATTAAGAAATCATATGGAGCCTCAGTAAACATCTTGCATACAACTATATCTAACACATTGAGTAAATCCAAAGAGTCATGTTTTACAACTTCATTGCCCGACGTGTCGCTGAGTCGTTTAAGTGCGCGCATTCAACGACTTTTTGTTCTGATTTCTTTATTATAATTAAGTTGATTTGATTATCGCTTATTATTATTGATTTATGTGTTTTATAATCGGCACGTTTTATTGTTATGTCTCTCTTTTATAATGATATAAATGTAATGCAGATGAAGTGGCGGGTAAAAGTTAGTTATGAAACTAACTTTTCGTCTGGATAAGAAGTAGCCTATATCTTTTTCTACATTATATAGCACGTGTGTAACAAATTTTATAGTGATTGATAAAGCGCTAAAAATAAAAAACAAAGTCACTTTCACATTTTTTTTTATACAACTTAGAATGGCAAACAGGCTGACGGTCCACCTGATGGAAAGTGGTAACCGTCGCCTATAGACATGAACAGTACCATGGACATAACAGAGTATACTGTTTCGATCATGATACTCCCCATGCATTGCCATTCCTGAAGACTCAGGTGTTATTCCTCTACCCTGTAAATTTACTCCATATCCCACTCTTCAAACGGAAACACAGCCACAGCAAACACAACTGCTTCACGGTTGAAACACGAATGGGACAGAGGTACCCTTTTTGAGGTACCCAAACGACTTTTGTACCAAGTTTTCCTCTGGTAGCTTATTGTTCTCTTTTATCCTTATTAATATATTATATGTCAAAATAAGTCTGTTTGTTTATTACCTTATAGCGCCTTAACGGTTTAATCAATAACTATGAAATTTGGTATACACGTACTTTAAAGTATAGAAAGATATAGGCTATTTTTTATACCACCATAAAGATGGCCACAAGCATACAGTACGGCTCATTTAACAATGAACGGTCACTGCAGCATATAAATGGCACCAGGTCTTCATGTCACGTACGCGTCTTATAGAAATACACCCTTTTTAAAGAACCCCAGATCTGTACTTCAACCAAAAATCGCCTACATTTTTTTCTCGGTCACCGCAATATGTATAATATCGGTCATTAAGGCCAAATTGGCATTCAATCTAGCATGAATTGCAAACACAATACAATGTCAACGGTATTCATTACACAGCCCAGCCCATGGCCTATCCCTGATATAGAGTTTTCGCACGTTACGTCACTGCAGTGGGATAAACGAGGTGAGCTAGCCGCCGCCGCCGACCCCGTTCGCACGACACGTTGCGTGATGTGGTGGCGACAGATGCAGGCATCGGTAACACGATCAATGGTGCTGGTTTTACATGCTTACTACGACGAAAACTGTTGTAATATTGCCACGGTTTCAGTAACAATTGCATTGCAAATATTATTCCCTGAATATATAATAAATAATCCAGATATAAATAACTACAATACAGTATGACTCACAGTAGTTATTATTCAATAGTAACAATTAAATTATTTTCCGTCAGGTGGCTCAGGAGCGTTCTTTGGTGATATAAATTATTTATCCTATCTATCTTATTAAGAGTTAGATGTAAAAATAGGATAAAATACCTTTACTCTATTTACATAAAGAATGTAATAAAATGTTAGGCTTGGTATAAACTTATAAAAGTTTACATAATATTTGACACACACACCTATTGTAAACTTTGTAAGTTGCACTCACACACATACATGTGTGTAAATTATGTTACCACTCCTTCACGTCCCTAGGTTTTTGTACAAGCCGACTAAGAGAACAAATGATTATTATACAGGGTGAAAACGAAATCGTTAGTGGTATGTAAATCGAAGAATGTATGTATGCTGTAGAACATAATAGGACAAAAATTTCTTGAATCAAAATAAAAAAAAGATGATATATTTGAATTCTACCATACTAAATCAACAGCTAAACGCGCCGCCTTAATATAGAAAGAAGGCTTAAAAAATTATCGGTTTTCACCCCATCTTCCTTTGGTGAAAACGTTCAGGTTTGATTTTACTTTTTGCAACTAGTTCTTTAATCAGTCCTTTACGAGATTCTAAGAATAGGAAGAAGTCGTTTATAATTACTCTATCACTACATAGTTATAATAAAACGAGCGAATAAGTGCTGCACAATCACACCGATCGCCTGGACTCGAACTAGGATAGCCTGCGTTATGGGGGACCAGCATCAAACGTCCCGGGGGTACAATCCGGAACACCCAGAGACGAGTCTATTAAGAAAAAGTCATTTCCTAAATTAGTCAGACTGGTAATCGAATCCAGAACCTCATTACAATATACTTACTAGTAACACATGATCGTAAGTTATAGCATAGTATACATTTACCCGTGTAGTTGCAAATATTTCCACTGTCAAGATTTGTCCTAAGTAATACAGTCTCCGGAAAAAAAAAAACTGCAACTAGTCTCTCTCGAGGCTCCTCAACGTCGTCCCTTTCATCCCACTAACAAGGCGGTTCAGTAATACGCCGTCACTCTCGGACAAAAGAAATATGAAAAATATCATCGCAAAATGAGATCGAGAGTAAAATAAATGTTTTAAAAGATTGATCATAATTGTATATTGAATATAACGTACATAATGATAATGAATTTGTTTTAAAAGTTTCATCATCGTCATAATCGCCATCATTTACCAGAGGAAGTATTTGTACAAAAGTCGTCTGTTTGGGTACCTCTGTCCCATTAAGTATTTCTGCTATAAAGCAGTTGTTTGCATGGCTGTGTTTCAAATTGAAGGGTTGAATATGGCAATGAAATTACAGGGTACAGATACATAACACCCTAATCTGAAGGGTAATAGGGGACACAGTATACTCTGTTATTTCCATGGTACTGTTCATGTCTATAGGCAACATTTACTACTTTCCACCAGTTAGGCAGTTTGTTTGCCATTCTAAGTCGCATAAAAAGTCCTTTAAGCCTTCCTCATCTGACATTTCTTGTATTTTATTAGTAAGATACTTGTCAAATAAGAGTCATATATTTTATATGATAAATGGGTCGTATCCTTGGCTATCTTGTTATAATAAATATAAGAAATAATTTTCTGAGCACGGTGGATGCAATATATTAATATGTAGTTGTAATAGATTAATGGTATTTCTGAAACTATAAGCACATTTTTGTCTTCTAATAATTACCAGGTAACCGGTGAACCTGTTAACTTCAATAGAAATTGTTTTTAGTTTTCTCCATTATGTTTCTGACGTTTGAAAGAAATAAACATACTATGTTTATTATTAGTAGTACATTTTCTGTTTATACGTTGAAACCAAAACAAGTTTTTCCCAAATTTTCACACTTATTGTGTATATAAACAAACATGAGAGATAAATGCCTGTGACACGCACCTAAACGAATACCTGAATGTAACAATGTAATTTCAAGCCAATTAACAAAATTACAAGTGTCCACTATTTGTAATTTTGATTAATAGACGGAATGGAATAGCCTGAATAGGCCACCACCGTAGGTATTCTATTCATGCAATATCTATTTATATTTTAAGCTATGTAATCAAATCATCTGACATTGTTCTCATAAAAATATTTTCCTCTTGTCAGCAGCCAAACCAAGGAGCAGACAATCAGGTAGTTTATCATTCAGTCGTGTGTAGTTGTTTGTCTAGTATTGTGTTTGTGACCTTTTGTGTTCGGTGTTGGATTGCAAATTGATTGTATCTCTAAATCTCTAACGTCTAAGGTTCTTAGATCATCTATGACGGAGAATATATTACTGATCTTTTTTTTTTTCAATCTGTAAAAGGAAAATAATGTAAAACATGTGACATAACAACCAATTAATAAATTTTACTAAAAATGAAACTCATTACTCATATAAATATTAGCCCTCATATGTTACAAGCTAACTATCTTGACAGCTGCCAATTATTTCTCTATACCAAGCTCTGTCGCGTCAGTTTTCTGGAATATTCTTCCTTTCTATAATTCTATGGCGTCTATTCTTGCTACTTGGATCACTCACTTCGTACCAGCTTGTTGGTATACGACCACTTTTTGGGATGAGATTAGATAGGTCTAATATCTCAAGGAGACGAGACTAAATTCCTAAATTCTTAACTCACAGAAATGTTGCACGATAGCTTTAAAATTTCCGTGTATAGATGATCTAAGTTTTCTCAGTACACATACCTACCATGTTTTTATAGCTTAGTTTTAGTAGTCTACACTTGTAAAATATTAACCGTATTTCTTATTCATAAAAACTTTAAACACCAGTAGAGATTATTTTATCTATAATATGCTTAAGCACTTTTATTCAAATTGAGAATTTATCGTAAAAAAGAAGAAACACTCGTCAAGCTGAAACTTTTTAATAATACGTTTGGCGTTTTTATGAACAAGCGGATTAATATATTTACCCAACTGTTTGACAGTAATATTTTTGCATGTTTGTATGTAAGACTTATTATAACCCATTACTAAATGACTCTATCGGTTTTGACAAAAATTGTATCATTGTATTCGTGTTACAATTGCGAGTAACCAGAGGGCCTACCATGAAATGTTTTTCGAAATTTCGGAACCAACCGAAGCACAAATTTGATGTTAAAATTACATAATACATTCCGTTTAGAAAAATTAAAAATCTTAAAATATTGTTCTTTTGAACTTTTATGATAGGATGTATGACGAACAAAATGTTAAACTCCATTTATTGGTCTGATTTTGGTATAAAAAAAAATACGAAATTGAGTCCGAAATTTCGGAATTTCATTTGATGGTAGACCCGCAGGTTATGAATGATGACCAAGTGCGCAACAAACACTTTTTATTGTTTTTTTTTTTTTTATATCAGAATGAAAGGGCTTGTTATAATGATTTTGAAAATATTTATTAGCAGAACAAAAAATTGCTTACATAGGAAAAATGTAAGCAGTTTTTTGTATCACTTGTAGTGATCGATTGTTGTATATTAATATAATTATCCGTTTTAGAATATTATCTATAGAGTTAGAATAGATACTTTACACAAAGCATGTTTAGATATATTTTGTGTACCCAATAGAGTTTAATATACCATTTAGGACATTAGGTCATGAATAAGTATATAAGTAGGAATAGACGCTTCGAGTACCTGAACTTATATGAAAACTAATTGTAATGTTTATGTAGAAGTCGAAAATTTTTCAAACGGAGTTATATGGAGTTATATACGTAGAAAACAGACACATTAATTGGGATATCTGTAGGAGACAGCTGCTTTCTCCGTAATAAACTCTATTTATGTTCTATTGCACCTAATTTAAGGTTCAAAATTGATACGAAAAGTACATTCAGTTACCATTTTTCATCAACTTATTTACCATTTAAGTATGCTAAAAATAATAATGATTCACCTAAAATAGCTATCTTAACCCAAACATTTGTTGTTCATAATTTTATTCTATACTACAATATTATACTATTCTGTCCGACAGTTGTTTGCAGCGAGCGCCACACACCTGCACGAGGTGCGACTCTCCCACCCGCCAGACTCTGGTTTCTCTGAGCCCGCGAACAACAATATCAGCGAAGACAACAACAATGGGCCGATATCGCTCCGTGAGATGCAGAACATCGCCAACAACAATGCTGCCGCGTACATCATCAGCGAGAACGAAGAACGGAACAGGGTCAGCCGCGAGTCGGTCGTCGAGTTCGAGCCGCTGCCCAACGGTATTAGGGCGGGGAATCCGTTGGACCACCGCGCTGATTGGTTTGGTCAGTCATCCATATGTATTGTTCTATTTACTATATAAAATCTTAATGACGGCCGCAATGGTCTAGCGGTATAACACGACGCTTTACCTTCCGATGAGTCGCAACGTCAAACCCCGTACATTTGTATTCATGAGTGTGTTTGTATGTGTTGATCTGGATATTTTCTATATACCTATAATATGTATTTTATTTATTATAAAAAAATATACTTATATGATAAAAAAAGTATCATCAAAATCGGTTAAGAATTAATGAAGATAGCACGTAACGTACATATATATATATATATATATATATATATATATATATATATATATATATATATATATATATATATATATATATATATATATATATATATATATATATATATATATATATATATATATATTTAAATTTTTGTGTATTGTTGTTTCAGGTGGTGATGATTTCCCGAGAAATAATTTGCAATATCTTCGTGAAATCGGGCGAGGATGGTTTGGCAGGGTAAATATTCTATTGCTAAACTAGCTTGGAGTAGGTTTAGCAAAATATAATTGCATAGTCGACGATAAATTCTAATGTTTATTGTATAAAGATGAATTATGAGCATAAAAGTTTCTTAATCATATTAGGTAATACGTGTGGACAGATACAGCTGAACATACACGATGCAAGAACATCATTCTATACTATTAACAACTGAGTATCCCAAACAATATACTCCTATTTTAGTAGAAAGAAAGAAAGAATTTATTCACAGAATCATGCGCTTCACACAGTAGCATGAATGAAAAAACTAAGTATGACAATATAATTTAAAACAAAAATAAACAAAAAATAATAATGATAAGTAGTCGTGTGTGTCGCAATGTTCTCTGAAATGTTGTTTGTTCTCCGTACAAAGCGACAGATTTTGAAATGTTTCTAAATGTAACAGTTCTAAACGGGCTGATTGATCGGAAAAAAAATAAAAATTGTTGTTAACATCATGCAGGTGGTAGAGGGCGAAATAGAAGAGAACGGTTCCACTTCAACGGTGGCTGTGAAGATACTAAACCAGAACGCCACTGTCGAGGATAAGGCGCGCTTCCTGGACGAAGCGCTGATCTACAGGGATGCGAGACACGAGAACGTCCTCGCTTTGCTCGCCAGAGGTCTGCAGGAGGACCCCTGGATACTGATATTTGAGTTATGTCCTATGGTAAGGAGTTCATATTGTTACGTTGATATTGTTCTAATAAAACATTATTATCCTACTGTATGGTCGGTATTTTTTTTTATGGTATACACCGGCGGGGCACCAGTGAAGGATGATAGGTGAGAATGAAGTAGTTCAGTTAGCCCATCGTGACGAATTCAACAGGAATTGTTCACGATGGTTTCCAGGGGGAACAACGTGGAGGGCGACCTAATAAGGCATATTGCTAGCAATGGGGCTGTCAAACTCCATTGTTAACAATCCCTTTCCCCCCGTATGGTCGGTATTGATCTCATCCTACATTAGGAGACCATAGTTTACTTATCACGCTGAAAAGCCATCAATTTTACCTGACTATATCTTAATATATAAAAAAAATCAATCAAATGAAGTTCATTCACATTAATCTCGCAAGAGGGCATTCAAGTAACACAATACACGTGTTACGTAATATGCTAATTTAGGTGAAGGAGGAGGGGGGGTGGGGTCTTTTAAACATTACGATGATTTACAGAGGTGGCAGGGGAGTTCGAATAATGCGTTACGTAACTTTGTTTTTTATTTAATTAACAATATAGGGAATTAAAATCCCCCAATTTGACACTATTATTTGTTTGTTTTTTGTTTTCATTGTCAGTATTCGTTAGTGTTGTGACTTTTAGGTTAATATAGTCGCTTGAGTGTTACTTACGTAACGTTTATTTATTTATTATTATTATTTAGAGAGATAATATAGTTTTAATTTCGATAAGAAAATATATACCTTGTGTGGACATGACAATTTTTGCCAGATCAGCTAGTGTTTATATATTTAATATGTATATACATACACATATATATATATATATATATATATATATATATATATATATATATATATATATATATATATATATATATATATATATATATATATATTTACACACATAAATTGAAAATGTCGTTATTCCTTAAGTTCTCTGTTTGTAACCTATTTTTTTTTATTTCATATGCAGGATCTTCAACAGTATTTGACTGTGAACCGGCCCAAAATGGCAATATTAAACGAGAGCGGAGTACCATTGCGACTAATGTGCGACGTGTCATCGGCACTCGCATACCTGCACTCGAGAGGTTATTTGTACGGGTATGTAAAATACTAATAATTTGAATTAAATAAATACGTATACGTTTACCAACGCAGACTGTCTGTTAAGTGTAGCGCGTCACATAAGAACACATGCAATATAGCGTTGTCGATCTTCCGACGACGTTTGATCGATGCGCAGACAACAGAATAGATGCCGAACCTAAAGGAACTATTGCGGCTTGTTAAACGAGTACAGCGCCATCTAGTACCTAATTAAGTAATGCTTGTACTATGAATAATATACAATTCACAGACAAATTTAAAATCGTTTTTGTCAGCAAACTGTAACAGCTACTGGGCTGTAACAGCCTATTAACACTTTTATCTCTTTCGATGATGCAGGGAGGTGTGTTGCGACGCGATGCTGGTACGGCAAGCGGGCAACGATCCAGCGACCGCTCGTGCCGTACTAGGCCGTTATCTCACCGCCGCGACCCCACCGGCCCGACTACCGCACACGGTTGGTATCACGATTCACTACACTATATACAATCTATGTTTTTTTTTTATATACTTGACAAATAAAAAAATAAAAACAGGCCACGACTATAATCTCTAGTATTGATTCAATATATTTAGAATTTAGATCGTTAAATCCTCTGTCAATAAGTAGATTGTGGATGTTAGAGATCATATATTTTATATTAATTTTTTCGTTATTCGTTAGTTCGTTATACTATCGATAGTTAGAAATAACTATAGCCAATTTTAGTCCCCTATCATCTTAATTTTGCGAATCTAATCTGTGGCGAATTTAAAACAGCTATTATATTTAAATAGTATTTTTCTCAGGGGTTTCTACCGTCCATCTTAAAATCTTTTTTTTTTATACAACTTAGAATGGCAAACAAGCTGACGGCCCACCTGATAGAAAGTGATAACCGTCGCCTATAGACATGAGCAGTACTATGGATGTAACAGAGTCTACTCTTTCGCCCATGATACCTCCCATGCGTTGCCATTCCTGAGGACTCAGGTGTTATTCCTCTGTACCCAGTAAATTCACGCCATATCCCACCCTTCAAACCGAAACACAGCCGTGCAAACATAACTGCTTAACGGTTGAAACACGAATGGGACAGAGGTACCCAAGCAATCGACTTTTGTACAAAGTCTCCCTCTGGTAAATCTCAACGTCCACAAGAAGACATTATCGGCCACGAGAATCTATGGTATAAACCTTTCTCGAAGGTATCCATATTGAAATTATTTTGTTTTTTGCAGGCGAGTACCGAGGTGTGGTCGCTGGGCTCGCTGGTGTGGAGCGTGTGCACGTGGGGCGCTCCGCCGCCGGAGCCGCCGCAGCCGCCGCCCGACCTGCCCTGCCCCTATCGGAACCATTTGTAAGTACTTGCATTATCAGAAAGTACAAAGTTACCGTTATCTGTAATCAAGTGGATGTGATACATAATATGTATATATAATACATATTGTAAACAATTATATAATTGTAACATAACGTTTTAATTGTTACCTATTTGTCGCTGGAAGAAGGTAGTATCTATGATATAGGCTCGGCCTAGTATAGATGCTACTGGTAAATCATATGTGTGATGCGTATTTAACAAAAATGTAATTGTTTATAAGAAGAATAACTGTAACTACTTAAGTTTGTGTCAATAAAATATATTATTATTATTATATTATTATAAATATAATATATAGATGTTGCTGTATAAAACCCATCCCTATTTGCCACTCTTTGGCAAGCTAAAGTTATAAACGGTCTTAATATATAAAAATACCCACTCACAAAGTTCGTTCACGCTAATCTTCGAAATTTATCAATCGATTTTGTAAATTAGTATTGTTTGTTCAAAAGTTGAAAAATAGAATAATTTCTATCCCAATAAATTGCACAGTTGTTGAGAACATACTGTCGCCACATGCCCTCCCACACTCTCAGAAAACGAATCTTAAGAGACTGTTAGTTTATAAAAATCCATTTTACATATTCTTTTTTTTTCCAGTCAGGTGATTACAAGCCTGTATTTACTATGATTTTATATGTTACTGTCATAGCTCTATTAATATTATAAATGGATGTATGTTTGTTTCTCTTTCGCTCAAAAACTGCTGAACGGATTTGAATCATCTACCCTAAATTTAATACGTAGAATACTTTATGTACTAATACACGCAGACGAAGCCGCGGGATTGTTCTAACATTAATTTTAATGAGAGTTACTACTGAGTTTATATTTGGGTTTGTTTGTTTGAGAAACAATCTAAGTTTGTGCTTCATTAGAATCGGAGACATGTGACATTGACGGAGGTCTCATCCTTGCCTATATCATTCCCATGTTTAGGAAAATAGTATTTCATACGGAAATAGAAACACGTACTCGACCAATATATGCAAGGAAGTATATGTATAATGCGTGCTATTATGTACTTTATTTATTTTGTATTTTTTGTATTATTTATTTTATGTATTTATTTTGTACTTTATTATAATATAAATAATATTATAATAATGATGTTATCAATGTAAACTAACATTGATTAAATAAAATAATAATACAATTCTTTTTAATAATCAAATGTATGAATAAGACAAACAATATTTATTGTAATATTGTTTTTTTTTTTTTTATTTACAACATTTATTTACAAAGTATTTTGTTTTTAAACGTGTTATCTACACTTAATATTGATTATTAACCAAATCAACATAATAATTACTTCCATGAACAAAAAGTAATTTTTCCACTAAAAACAGTTTCGGAGTTTCGGTCATATTTAAATAATCTGGTAAATATATTATTTGCTAGATATATTTTAATTAGCTTATAATACTTTTTACTATAAAATATATATTTTTATTTCTTCCACTCAGATACCAAGTGATGCAACTCTGTTGGAATCCCAACCCTGATGCGCGTCCGACATGTGCACAAGTGTACGCACTGATCAACCACCTGTATGCCACACATACACGGACCAACTCCGCCGCCGTCGACGACGGTTACGGCAGCAGCGACTTCGAGGAGCGTTGGCAGCGGCTCAAACCGAACTCCATCCCCGTCATAGACGAACACATCGCCATAGTCCACGCCCCCTCTACTTCAATGGCGTCGCATTTCACCGGCTCAGATCAAGACTTCGATAACACTCCCACTGTACATGAATCGCTCAGTGTCGACATGGATACGGCTGTGTCGCGATCAAGCAGCATCATGTCGGACAAAGATCCACTTTCTGTACAAATCAAATCGGAAAGCCTCACGAATTTACACGGTTCATTGGAAGATGTACGCAATATCTACCTCACTCACAATGAGATGGCGGTTCTTGAGTGTCATCAAGGCAATATTAGTCTCGATGACAGCAGAGAGAAGGATCATGATTACTCAGATAGTTCCGTCGACCCGTGGCTTAAGGACATCATTGCTGGCAGTCAAGACGACGTCAGCTACTATAAAGATGTTAGCGACGTTATTAAGAATCTCGACAATATTCTGAATTCAGAAAAGACTTCGAGCTCCGAATCAAGTCATCAGGCTAGTCCATCCAGAGATAATTTGAGTTTAGACTGTAAAACAGACTGTCCAATGCAATCGAGTATGGTCAAATCACCTGGTATTAGTAACTTCCAAAATATCCTAGTAACTGGGTTTGACACTAAGTCTGATAGTGAGCCGTGTGAAGAGGATGATATTGACCGTGATACTATTGGTACTTTAAGTCATTCATTCGAACGCCATAGTGACACGACCAGTCAGCACACTTTAGAAAATATTACGCCCATTACACCAATAAAAGATATAAATTTTATATGTGAAATTGTAAATGAAATTGAAACAGCTGCAAAGGATAATCTTATTAATGATCATGTTGAAGAAATCATTTTCAAAGAAGAATCCAAATTACATTTAGATACTGCTTCGCCAATAGGTAATGTAGTTAATAATGCTAGTAATATACCCAAGTTGAAAGAATTATGTGTAGCCTCAATGCCTAGTGTAAGTGAAACAAATATTGAACAATTGAATGTAAATAAAGACTGTGAAACACCTTGTGATAATAAGCTAACTGAAGAAAGGACTGAGAAGGAAACCGATACTAAGTCAATAAATGATACAGAACTATTAAATGCAAATGCTATTCCTAATACAGAAACAGAAGATATAGAACCAATAAAACATCCTGAACAATTAACTAATGTACAAGATGAACTCTTGCCAGAAGTAATAAATGAGAAAATTCCTATAATAAACAACAGTTTATTAAGCATTGAAACAACAAGTGATTTACAGAAGGAAGAATTAACAGATGTTAGCTGCAATAAGGAAATTGCTGAACCTCTTGAATTACTTGATATTGATCTTACTAAAAATGAAGGCGAAACTAATGATCTCATTTCAACTGTAGAAGATAACATAATAGAAATTAAAGATACAAAAAACGAAATAATTTACCATGAAGACATGGAAAAACCTGATATGACAGAAATAAAGGAAAATATTAATTTACTAACAAATACTAATGCACAGACACCTGAGCCAGTACAAAATTTTAACAATAGTGAAAATAATACTGATAGTATTTGGGCTGTGGAAGAAGTTGATAATATGGTACAACCTATAAGTAATAATGAAAATATAGCCATAACGCAAAAAATGCCACCTGATACAGTACAAAATTGTGTTCACGAAACATTTCTAATTGATGCTGCAGATACAAATATTAAAAAAGAAAAGAATGAAATTACACCAATTAGATCTGAACAAAATGAAATAGTAAATAAAACTTCATCTGAACAGTCAAATGACAGTACTGTTTATATGGATCTCATTAATAATACGAATAGTGGAATAGTAAAGAACGATACAATGGATAGTAATGTTAAACAAGTTATTAAATCTTGTGTTTCTTCACTGCATAAAGATATATCGAATGAAGAAACTTCTTGCTCTTTAGTTAAAAACGATTCGACCGTGTACTTAGATTTGCCCAGTATGATAAAACAGACAGATGATTTTTTGCACTCAGAAAAGACACTTTGTAGCCAAAATGTAGAGTTTAAAGATATCTGTGTATCTAGCACACCTAAGAGTAGCGATCATCGATCCACAGACGAAACCTTAGAATGCTCTATTAAAGATGATAAATCCGAATTGTTATCAGAAACGAAAATACCCGACTATGGTCCAGGAGTGACACTTACGAAACTGGAACAAAAATGCGTCCCTGATGGCCTTAGTCCATTCGAATCGCCGACTAAAAGTCACCACACCGACACGTATGATGAAAACAGTTCTGTCGTTTTGGGACCCTTTGAGAACTGCACAATAGAGTTATTCAAAGGGATAAAATCTATTGATATAATAGACTTACCCAAAGAGGAGCTGTTAGCCTTTTCATCAAATTTTAGCGAAATTAATCTCGAAACACCGTCGCCATTACGTGACGGTAACTTTCTAAACGAAGTGCCAGATATCGTCCACGATGACGTACAGTTTGATGATGTAGCAACTATAAGCGACCGGAATTCCGAAAAAGAGCTACCGAGTGAAGTTAATACGGAGGAATCTGAGATACAGTCTGCAACAGAGAAACATGTTTCACCGTCGACACCTCCCAATTCGCCCGGGAACTTTCTAGCGTCGACATCACAGCAGAAATACTTAGTAGATATAGATCTGAATCCTCCTGCAGAAGCCACTGTAGCGGAATCCGACTCTGGCCTTAGTTCTCTACAAAAAGAAATTGAATTGAATCAGATTGAATTGCAGATTACTACAAAGCTAGCAATGGCTGAGAACGAAAACAACTTGAATATTGAATATTCGAGACCACTTACCGTAGAAGGTCTCGTATCCGAGGATTCTGATTATATACGCGACAGTGATGAAGTACCTGAATCTTATTTAGCTGGTAATGGAGGATCCGTTGAAAACTTTAGAGAAGGACTCACGCTGGACGAGGAGTGTGTAAAGGCTCTTAGAAATGAGTTGGAATTGAAGTTACCTCTAGCACAGGTGAGTGTGTTTTTTTTTTTATAATAGTAAGATTGCAGTATTGTTACATTACTCCATAACTAATATTTATGGATACACGACGGTCAATATCGCATCTGTAATAATGACAAATTGACAAAATAAGTTTTTGTCAAATATCGACCTAAAAGAGTAGGTTTCGAATCGAATATATGTTCTATAGATTTCCGTTAGTGCATGCATGGAAATGAATAGGATCCTGGATATCGCTGTCTTGTTCTATGTCAAACGGAGGGTAAGATAAGCAATACCACATCTTTTGACAGATTCGTTTATCATTTTTGTAGAAAGCAAGAAAAGAACATGTTATAGGATGCGACACATCACAACTTTTCGTTTATTTATAGTTTTTTTTTTCATATCTTTATTGATTTCTTTATGTGGTGTTTAAAAAAAAATATAAGCAATGTACCAACGGCGGTTTGTGGCGCAGGTGTCGGGTATCGAGCCGACGGGCGCGGGCTCGTCCTCGAGCGGCGAGTGGGAGCCGCCGCCGCCGCCCGAGCTGGTGCTGGCCTACCCGGGCGCACTCAGCCCCATCGCCGAGGAGACCGGCCTGCAGCTCTCCGCATACGAGAACGACGCCAACTGTACGTACACATGGACCACATACGTCTAGATAGAGTCACTCAATACAAACACTTTGGCTAACATTTTTATTCATGTGTGTGTGAGTGGGGATATCAGAATGTTGTTTCTCTATGAGTTAAAAAATATGTGTATTTTAAGGTTGAACAAAATCATCACAAAATTTTCACATTTCTATTTAATGGGGTAGATCGGCTATCATTTATCAATAATTGTGCTTGTTTTCACCATAAACTTTGATTAGTCTCTCGGAATAGACTTTCATATAATATGTATTCATAATAATATGTAATAAACACACTGATAAACTCTTATACATGTATATTAGTCTAATACATGTAAACATCTAGCCGATTTGAATTTTTTTCCAATTTATTTGGAACACAAACAATAGGCTTCGTTTTATTTAAAAATATTTGTCAGCCAAAATGTACTCTTGACGACCTGATTTCTCACATTTATAGAACAGTATGTAAATGATTGTAATTTATCTGTATGAAAAATGTTGCCAAAATAACTAAAATTTAAACAATTACATGAGAAATATAAGCGAAGACAGCATAATTGATATGGGTGATGTAAACGTATGCGTGTCGCTGTGCAGGGACAGCGTCGGCGGCATCGTCGTCGGAGAGCTACCCGGAGCCGTGCAACAACTGGACTGAGGAGGACGCCACGCGCTGCAGCCGCTCCGCCTCGCCCTCCGCCACCGCCACCTACACGCTGCCCGGCCTCGACCCGCACCGCACCTACACGCTGCACAAGGACGTCACCACCAGCAAAGAGTTAGTCATCATTTCAGCTTTAACTGTCCACTGATGAACATAAGCCTCCCCCTATCGGGGAGGTTTTGCCAGTAGTTGCCACGCTTGCCAGGCGGATTGGCAACCGCAATTAGGCTTTTAGATATGTTTTAAGAGAGATGCTGCTGTCCATCCCCCACCCTCCTTTGGTCTCTTCTTACGGCACCTACGGGAAAGGAAGAGGTGGCCTATTTTATACTGGGACCACATGGGAAAAAGAGTTAGTACTCGGAAGTTATTTTTTCAACCTATATATAATAATTTAGATTTCCCAATAGCAAAGTTTTGCATATATAATATTTAGAAACGGTTTTCTTTTTTAAAGACGAGGGTGTTAAAATAAGATATATGTATATTTTATTATATGAAATATTATATATATTGTGTTTTGTAACAATAGTTACTACTTTCCATCAAGCAGACCATCAACTTGTTTGCTTTTTTTATATAAAAATAATATTTACTTGCTTCGTAACACAGGTATAAAAAATGTATTTATTTACTTATACTTTATTGTGCACAAAATTTATATTGTTATAATTTATATAAAATAAAGATGGATAACAAGCGAGCTAAATTCTGTAAGAGTTCTCTTCCAGCAAACCCTGAGTGGAAAGGAGCATTAATTACCAGCGGGCAGTATGTGTACAATAAGTAGTGAAAACAGTTTAGTACTAGTACTATAAACTAAAATATTCTAGTAACATATTTTTTTGCAGAATAACAATGAGCGCAGACAGTTTGAATGCCAGTCCACATAAAGAACCTGCAACAGATGTACATTCACCAATCGATGACAGAACTTATAATAAAAATGAAGAAGAACATGAGTCCAATTGCGAGAGGATTTCACAAGTATCTCCATTTTTATTGAGCCCTACCACTGATACATCAGCTCCCGATACGACCGATAACGTCGACAACGGCACCGGGTCCACTCTATCTCGAACGACAGTGCCCACCGATGCTAAAATCTCGAAGCCTTTTGACACCCAATGTTCGTCAAAAGCGACCAGCATAGATTCCTGGTGTTCGAACGATACCCTTTACAATGTAGAGGAAAACTTCGACGATTTAGCTATGGACTCCGACATTCCCGCAGAGCATGAACCTGAAAAGGAAGACGAACACAGTGAGAGTAGCAATACGTTAACTCACAATGATGATGAAAAAGAGTTGAGCCACTGTTCTACTTACATAGTCCACGATAGCAAATCCGAAGCATGTGAATCGTTTTCTCCGGATTCTATTACCGCGAACGACAACTATACGTACACAAAGGCGAAAACTGAAACGACCGCAGCGACTCCGTCCATCGTTACAAAATCTGAAGTGGATTCCACGAAAAATTCACAAACAAAAGAAGACCTAGCTTATGGTACATTGATCTCAGGTTTGCCGTCTTACTCCAATTGTACAACAGAAGTGCTGTCAGTTGTTGATGACATTTGGAAATTACAGCAACCGGAGCTAGTGAGAAGATCACCTATAGGAAATGAAGTGCATTTGACACCACCTAAAATTATGGACGATGCGGAATGTATTGAAACTAGTCCTCAATTAACTATACAACCTAGTATTAAGAAAATGGATAGCGTCGAGATTTCTTGTTTACAAGACCAATTGCTAAACAGCCATGATGGGTTAGAAAACATCGAGAACCAAGAATCAATAAATAAAATTAACGACAGTCCCAACTCTAACTATAAAGACATGACCCCCTCCGTTACAAGTACACCTATAACAGGACAAATTGGAAATGAAGATGTTGAAGCCATACCTATAAAGCTGCCAGATATTAAAGCTGAATCACTAGAAATGAACATACCAAATTTCCAAGTATTTCTACAATCAGCCGAAATAAGACCTCAAGATATATCATCAAATACAAGTAATGAGTGTACTAGTAATATTGATACAGGCATAATATTAGAAGGTGACAGTAAAACTCTAAGTAAAAATAGCAACAAAGACAGCGTGGCAAATACAGAACGCACTCCATCATACTCAGATTTCGAGAACTCTGCTATGTGCAAACCTCAAGATGTACATTCGAGAGAAAAGTCTAGTCAAAGTATAGAGAGTGGTATTAGTTCTGAAGAATTCCGGCAATTTGAGGACTCTGTGAGACAGAGACCGCAAGATCTCTCTTCCGTAATAGATGCAAGTTCCATGTTACTGAAGAGTGAGAGAAAGTCTAGTGAACTTGCAATGGGCAGTTTGAAGAAAGTAGATATTGATCAGGATAGGCAACCTGAAAAAAGCCACGATAATAAACCTATACAACATATAACTATAAGTCCGCCTAATAATATAAATTTAAATGAATCTCATATTAATGTACCAGTTAACAATTTTTTAATAGATTTTGCTGAAGAAGAAATGGATCAGCCTCATTCAATAATAATTACAGAGAGCCCCAAAGAAGTGGCTAAAGATAGCCCGAATAGAACTTATGACTCTCATACAGCAACACCGCTTTTAGATCTTAACAACACCTACGATTCTCATGAAAATCAGCGGATTAATATAAGAACTGAAAGCGATGAACATTTAATAAAACCTATTGTGAATGGAGTAGCTGAAAATGATCTCAATGAAGTTAAAAAACCTAATTCATTGGAAGCCATTGAAGATAACGTACAAGAAAATAGTCATAAACTACAGGAAGATAATTTTGAAAAGAATATAAGCCAATTGAATAACGAAGGAGCCCCTAAAATAGAAGCTGTAGACGAATTAACACAAATTATCGAGCCTGTTGTAAATAACTTAACTTTATCTGTTTCACCGAAAACTGTTATAAACGGATCATTTTCAAAGGAAAGAAATAATGAAACTGAAATAAAATGCAATGGCAGCAGTGAGAAGTACGCGACAGTTGAATTTCTAAACGAAACATTCGAAGAACTGCTGGAGAGCAATGTCGATGACGAGACTAAAGATTTCTGTGTTAACGATAAATGCGAACAAGTGTTTAATCAAGATCAGCCTCAACTTAAGTCTGAAAATAATGAATCTCATCTTGTAAATAAAATAATCAGTAGTCCTAAACAGAAAATATCTGAAAATATAGATTCACAAGAGGTTGAAGAAGTAAACACGAATGGCGTTGACGATAAATTAACGTCGGTCACTGAGAATTTCTTACTGAATGAGAAGAAATTCTGTCAGTTCGATTCATACCTTCCACTGTTGAGTGATATCAGATTCACTGGTGAGTAAATAGATTTCTATGTATTTATTTCTTCATAACTTTTATTTCATCAATGTTACACAAAATTAATGCAGTGTATCGGATACCAGAGGGAGACTTTGTACAAAAGTCGATTGCTTGGATACCTCTGTCCCATTCGTATTTCAACCGTGAAGCAGTTGTGTTTACATGGGTGGGATATGGCGTGAATTTACTGGGTACAGAGGAGTAAAGCCCTCAGGAATGGCAACGTATGGGGGGTATCATGGGCGAAACAGTATACTCTGTTATGTTCATGGTACTGCTCATGTCTATAGACGACGGTTACCTTTTTCCATCAGGTGGGCCGTCAGCTTGTTTGTCATTCTAAGTTGTATAAAAAAATATACAGTTTAAAAAAATAAACCAATTATATATTGCCAAGAATAATATAAGTAGCCTTTTTGCAAATATTCACTTATAGTTTGTAACATTAAATCATTAAATCGCGCTAAATCTTGTTTCAACGCAAATACGAATTTGCTAATAATAATTTTACAAAAATTGTGTCAGGTCCAGCAGAAGAAATCATGACTACGTCATTCACTCAAGATTCGCCAACGGAACCAACGTCGCCCGAGTACGAGCAGGACAGCAAACCAGACACCGCTGTAGATATATTGAAAGAGTGGGACAGCGATAGCGATTCGCATTCCAGCAACTCCTCCAGCGGCGAGTTCATTTGGAAGGTAAGAGAATTATATATACAGTTTTGGTGTATAATATATTATAGCTATATTAATATAACCTTTGATTTTATTATAAAATTATTTATCTGATTCCATTTAATAGATGCCAAAATCTTGCATACTTTAACTATAAATTTATAAAAAATATTAATACATATAGTTTCTCTATATTTTTTTCTTATTTATTCACTTTTTTTTTTTTTTTTGTTTTATTCCATTTTATGTGTTTTGCAATAAATAAATCTTTCTAAATCGCTGTCGCAATAAAAAAAAAATTCACAATCTGACGGAGATTGGCTTTATTCCATAATGATAATTATTTCATAAGAAATGTAAAATTTGTATTATTTTAAGCGTCGCGTTGTTTAAACATATTTAAATTCACGATCGGAATGAGTCCCGATCGTAAATTTAAATTGAATATGTGAATTTCCTGTGTACAATATTTATGCTATCCTGTAAAGAAATATTAGATTGAAAATATATTTGCTTCAGACATAGTTAAATTAATAACAATTGCCAACTGGTATACCGAGGAATATATGTGCTAGTTGTGTTGCAAAGAAATACTATGAAGCGTTCACATCGGGTGTATAATCGGCTCCTGCTATGAAAGGAATGTATAAAATGTAAAGAACCTTTTTTGTAGAAAAGAGTATGAACGTTTTACGATTATACTGTAACGTATTATTTTTTTAAAATGTGATCAAAAAAGATGTGTAGGCCCCAAGACAAAGTACAGACCAATCTATTCATAGAATCGTTTTTGCTAGCGAGTCCAAGAGATAGAATGTTTAATGGATGAAAATGAAGCAGCAATCCCGCCCGTGTAAACGGTATACGCCGGCGGGGCACCAATGAGGGATGATAAGTGAGGATGAAAATAAATCACTTAGCCCGTCATGATGAATATACCTGGAATTCAACATGATAATTTCCAAGGCAGGTCACGTGGAGGTCGACCTGGTTGGGTATATTGCTAACAATGAGGCCCTTAGTCTCTATTACTAACAATCCCATCGCCCCTGAGATAGAATGAGATAGTGACGTTCGCTGTCTCGTTCTTTTTCATGTGAGCACTGACCCAAAGGATTCTCAATCAGTCGATTCGCTTGTACTTTGTCTAAGCGGACTAGTCTTCAATTTACACTGGGACTGGCAATGCCCTTGCTCAGAATAGGCTCCGTAATATGCCCTAGATGTGATCGCAACATTAAATTTATCAATCTAATGTTTAAAATATTACTTGTTCTGGTGTGGGTAGCATCTTTCCTCGCTTAGTGGACGGTTTGATGAGATTTAGTAACCTTATATCTAGAGCTACAATTTAACTCTGTAGTCTGAAAATAAAAATATGTACTGCGTTGTTTATAATTGATGTACTGTAAAATGTCTCGCATATAATTTCCTTAGCAGGTTAGACTATGGAGTTAAATTGATTGATTGAAAGTAAATAGTGATTAATTTAAAGGAAAGGCTCTTCGCTTTTTATACCTAAAGTATATTCTTGGATCCCCTGCTCTATTGGCAAGCTTTACCAGTGAACTCTACATTACTAGATTACAATTTACTAATGATTATTTGAATGCGTTAACTTCTCTATAAATCTGTTTCAAGACAGTTTAATTTTTTTTTCAGTCTTGCCAAATGGTCAGGGGGTTTTCTCCTTTAATATCAGATTAGATATGTATACATGTACAGTCGTTATCGTTTCTTCTTTGCATTAATGACAATATATACAACTTTCACAATTTGAAGTCTGTAAAATATAATATATAACCATTTTTAAGGTCAAATAATAATTTATGCCGACTGATTTTTACCATCGAAATTTTTACTTCTGGCAACATACATGTCCTTATACTAAAAAAATTTTATCGTCGGTGTAATTACAATGCATTATTTTAATTTGTAACTAATTGACTGAAATAAATCTCTATAAGGAATAAATCTGCCTACCCTAATATCTATTAAAAGTGTAAAAACTATTAAAAGTGAGTATACAAAAAAATGCCTTATAAAAAAAGTTGCGAGGTGTTGTCTATGGATGTTAGACTATACATATGTACATATAAGGTCCCGTGTGGGTGTCGGTGTGCTTGCATGTTTGTAACTTGTCTGTGTGGCGCGTAGGACGGGGACGGCCACGAGACCTCGGTCGTACCCTCCACGCACTTCGACCATGTAAGTTCCCTCCCTTATCTATTTATTTTCATCATCCGTTTATATTGTGCTTGTACGTAGTTCATTAATTCATCATTATATTTATATTAATCATCATCATCATCATCATCATCTTCCTGTCCTTATCCTAACTACGTGATGATTTTATTCATATTACATAATTATTTATAAAAAAGAAATAAAGGATTTATAAGGAAAAAGGAAATTTTTATTAAGTATATATTATGTAAATGAGAGGGTCAAATAACAAAATGTCCATATTAAAATATTATATTCATTAATTGTCACATAGGATTAAATAAAACATGAGTTTTATTATTTGCCCCCATAACTCTGTGAGATAAGGTCTTAACTTCAAGAGAGTTCATTGAATTTTATTCAATGTTCTCTCCTTTTTTTATTAAAAATATTAGAACCTATCCTAAGAGATTTTGATCAGCAGAGTACAAAATTCTCGTTGTAAATTCCCGGGGGCTTACCACTTACTTACAGGCGACGGTAACCGCTTTCTACCAGTTAGTTGGCCTGCCTCCGCTAGGATTCACTCTTTATCCATTGTGCCTTTCAATAACATTGGGCACACTTGAAAATATGCGGCTGTGAAGTTAGCTTCGATGATTTCATATACTTTAAACAGTTCCCCCTTCATCCTTTCGCTTCTCCGCCTGCCATTATATGCGTGGCATCTCTGATTCTATACAGTTACATTATTTATGTATGTATCTATGTATTGTCAGAGTTCATGTTAATTTTATGTTGCTTTCTTCGCTTTGCTATGGGTGCTTTGTCTCCATCTGTTTGCCTCGACATCACGTGCATGATCATTTACCTCCAAAAGCCTCTACCCATCCACACTGATCTAAATAATTATTTTATGCAGCAACGAGGAAGCAATTCCGAGTCGGGCGCGGCACAAGGCGGAGACAAAGCGTCCTCTGGTGCTCCGTCAGAAGCCTCCGGAGACTCTGGTTCGGGCTCGGAGGGTGATGAAGTGGAGTTCGTGCCGTCCTCGTGGGACTGCCGCGCCGCCCCTTCGAAGTCATCGTTGCGCAGCTTCGAGCAAGCTACACCGGTAATATATATTTAAACTAGTATTTTCTGTAGCTTCGCCCGAACTCTATTTGGAAACCATTGTCGTAAAATTCTTTTTTGTTTTTTTTTTTATACCACTTAAAATGGATGGCAAACAAGCTGACGGTCCACCTGATGGAAAGTGGTAACCGTCGCCTATAGACATGAGCAGTACCATGGACATAACAGAGTATACTGTTTCGTCCATGATACCCCCATACGTTGCCATTCCTGAGGACTCAGGTGTTATTCCTCTGTACCCAGTACATTCACGCCATATCCCACCCTTCAAACCGAAACACGAATGGGACAGACATGCCCAAGCAAATATACGCTACAATAGGCCAATTAATTTAAGAGCTTACCATGAAATGGTATCCGAAATTTCTAAGCCGAACGCAACACGAATTTGATGTTAAAATATCATTGCTTTGGGATTTCATGGTAGGATTTAAGACGAAAATCTTAAACTCTATTTACTACATTGTTTTCGGTATGAACAAAAATACGAAATTGAGTCAAAAAATTCGTAATTGCATTTCGTTGTTACCCCTGATTTTACCCTCATATATCAACCGTAACTCCTTCAACGTAAAACATTTAAAGCGGGGATATAGTCTGTGATATAATTGACAGTTATGATTAAATTTACAGGAGCACAAGAAGCGCGTAGTGTTTAAGCGACAGAAGTATCACTGCGTGTACGAATACCCGCGCGAGGTGGCCGATGTCGAGACGCACTCGCCCGCCGCCTACATGCCGGACTTCTCCACCTACTCAGGTACGTTGTGGCTTAAGTCTGTGGAGTCAAAAGACTTCCCCGAAGAAGAGTCGAAAAACTATTTAACCGGTTTTAAAAATTCTTTCACCTATAGAAAGATACATTATCAGTGAACAACATAAGCTATATATTATTTTCAAAAATGCTATCTACCCGTGTGTATAAAAAAAAACACGTTTAAACAGGTTCAAATACTTCGATTTTATTCAGTGTCTAATATTGGTTTGCTTTTTAGATTGGGACCCGAGCAGCGCAGAGGAGGCAGAACTAGGCTACGGACAACTTTTCGGAACTCCAAATGCTCTCGACTTATATCCACTGCGGGCTGGTATTGCTTTTGGTGCTGGTAAGTTGCTTTCTATTGGTATAAATGTTACTGTTACCCTTCTGTATCGCCGTCGACATTATCGTTTTTTTTTTGTACCAACATAAAATTGTCACAGAATAAAATGTGTCAGCACTCTTCAGAAGGAATTGCATTCTTATCATGTATTACAACAAACGACTATAGTGAACAGAGCAAAATATATCGGTGCAAGGAAAAAAACAAATTTGTATACTATATAACAGTAGCTAACGTCCTCGTATGAGAAGTGACCTACGCCTGGCGATGGGTCATTAATATGATGATTCCATAAACTTAATAGTATCTTCCATATTCTCATAGATTACGACGAGGACTTCTTCATATCGTCTTCGGCGCGACCGTTCGAGAGTCTCGGCATAATGACAACGACCAGCCAGTTTTTCCCCGGCATGCATGTGAAGCCGGCGCTGCTCGAGCGTGAACTGGACGACGTCGACGACTTCCCGCCCCCACCCTCGCCACTGCCCACCGTTACCGCCACCGCCTCCGCTCCTACCGCAGCCACCGCCACACTAGTCCATACCAGGACCCCCTCATTAGACTTCACTACCCCAGACTCTGGGGTCGAAGACATTACTCCAGGCTCTACCACTACCGAGGAAGATTACAAGATCAAGAAACTGTCGGAAACTGAAGTGAATCAATGCTGGCGACCAGTCGACAGTGGCAGCTCCAGTGAGTCAGTCAGCCCGAGCTCACCGGGCGGCGAGGCTCTCGGCGGCCTCAGGCACACAAGGGACAAGCTGAAGCTCGACCTGCCCCCGAGTCCACATTTACCGTCACCGAGGCATAACAGGGTTTTTAATTTCGTGTTGGATAAGCCGAAACGGCAGAGGGTCCAAGAGGAGAGGTCGAGCGAAGTTGGCAGCACTCCACTCGTGATGAGCGACGAGACGCCAGTGGTTAGCACGTCACTGCCGCTACAGGAGTCCGACGACCTGTCGCTACCAGAACCCACTTTCTCCACCTTCGGCAAGTGCGCGCAGAAGGTCGATACCGAACAGAAGAGCATCATACTCACTGAAGACGTGCAACACGCCGAAAACAGTGATAAAGTAGAAAGCCCTAAAGTGGTGGAAGCAGTTAAAGGCGAAGGCACTGTTTTGGACAGCGGAGACGAGGACTCCGGCATAGAGAGCAGCTCCAAAGCCACTCTGGAACGGAACAAAACGACTCCAAACATCTCGTAATTAGAGAGATATTAACGGTAGTGTGTTGTTATTGTATAAATAGGATCATGATTATAAGGCTTCACCGCCCTTGGAATACGCGATACTATAATCATATTTTGAAACTAAATGTTATTATAACAAAAATGGATGAAATAAACGTAAATAAAAGTTGTTTCCTTGTGTTGCCCCTACCAGTAGAATTACAAGGTACAGAGATATAGGTGTAATTAGTTTGGAAGACTGGCAACACACGAGGTATTATGACACGACTCGAGGTGTCGCTCTGTCTCCGTGTTGTAGGAAGCCAGTGGTGATATTCGTGTTTATAAATGACAAATAGCACTTTCTGTCAAGTTAGTTTGCCTTTTCACGTTGCATAAAAAAGATAACATTTTATTAGGGTGTCCAAGAGTTCGAGTGATTTGAGGATAGCGATCTCTATAGTACATGTTTTTTTTTTTTTGTATGACATACTCCTTTTCGAGGTTTTTCAGATTAATATAATTTATTATTGTATTATATTGTATGAATATCGTTATTAATCGGCGTAATTCCGGGCGGTGTAAGTAACAGCATGTCGGTTACCAAGCGAATAATAGATTTGTTTGTAACGCCAATACATGCTGTAAGTAACGCCATCACAATAGCCAAGATTTAGTATTACTAAACATTTATTAACGTATCTTTATTTAATTTAGTACCACTGAACAAAATATTATTGCACCTTTATGTAACAAGCCAGATGACATATCGAAAATAACACTTCATATTTGAAGCCACCTACTTACGAAATAAAATTCGGAGTGTCATTGCTTTTTCAACATTATTTCTTCAATTTTTTTTTCTTAATAATCTATAAATTTTTCTTCTTTTTTTTTTTGTAAAACAAAATCTTATATTATTGAATATTTCATAATAAAGGTAGTTTGTAAAGAAGGGAAAATAAAAAAAATATATATGTTTTGAACAGATAGACACTAGTTAAAAAATATTGGACATGTTTTTTGTTTCTAAGTTTAATTTAATGATTATAACCACAGGACTTCGCTTCGAAGTATTCTTGTACTCTATTTTCCTAATATATTTTTTCTAATAATTATAAATGCTGTAATTAACTTCAGTTTAGATTTTTCCACTTATTCATTTTTATATAATGTATTGCGATACTGAACTCGTTCGTAGGTGGTGTTTTGTATTCCTTTAATAATAGTGCAGTGCATGTAAAAAAAAAATTATTATAAATGCGCCCTAAACAGTTGATTTATTGATTGTAATACTTCATAAATAATAACGTTAAGTATCCTATTTCATTCACGAGTAAGGTACAAAAGCCATGTAATAAATCGCTTTCATTATTGAAAATTATTTATAAGCCCTTTGAGAATTTTACAGTTTTAAGTGATCCCATTTGCCTAATATTAAATACTGTTACAGTACTACCACGAATTTAAACAAAACCGCATCGCTATTAATATACACTATGGAAAATGCATTTTTGATACAATTCCCGCAGTTATAGCTTTATAATAATATTAACTTTTTTTTTTTTTACTATTTTCGTGGTGTTACTGTAAAATATAAAGGCCTATCCTGGTTTGTACGATTATTACCGCCCAATATTGTACTTGCTAGATTTTTTCATACGTAACATTTTTACTCTTATTTCATAATGTCGTAGTGAATTAGATTAAACACTGTTGTGCTCGGATACTTGAACCAAGCTTAACACAATTGTCGTGTAATAATTGTTCCGATGAAATTGTGCCCATCAAAAGTACAAGTATCAGATCATAACGAATTCAGTGTCTAAATTATTTGTTAGATTTACGCACAAGTGAGTACGCATCTTCCATCTTATAAACCTCGAATAATATGAAGAATATCAAAATTTTATTATTTCGGTCTATAAATTTTGAGGTTAAAAAGCCAATTGTTAGTTAAGAAAAGTTGTAATTGTAAGCGTAGAATTAGATGTATCTATTGTGGTGAGGTCGACATCGCGTGTTATTGTACACGAGCTCAGCAACAGAAATGGTTTAACTCGGGTGAACATTCAAATTTTTTTCTTTTTTTTTTAATTATATTTTCAAGTATAAACGCGTGCGCAGATATGTATTATATATTATAATATACATGATGTATTATTTGCGAAAAGCGTTATTTATTATTAGTTATTTTATTACATTGCATAATTAAATCAATTTAATTATGCAATGTAAAAAAAAAATTGTTCAAGTAATCAAGTTGCTTCGCGAAACTGCTTCTCAATATGCAGAATTAAGCAACTTCGCGTTTTCCCGCTATCCTGTATCACACTACCCAATGTACGCACGGCCTTTTGTAATCCAACCCCGTCCTGGTCACTTAATGATATTAAATGATGTTAAATCACGATTATTTATTACCTTGTCAATGCCGACTAACTAACTGTTCATAATAATGAAACATTACTGTTGCTGACTGTACAGAAGTGAGTGCCACTAAAATTACGTCATCAATATAGTACGCAATACGTCCAAGTGTGAACCTAATGTGCAATTCCTCTCATTTCCATATCATTGCGTTTTAGTTGTTTAGTTATTACTGCTGTAAATATAATTTAATGTTATAGATTTGGAGAAGTTTTTGATGATTGCAAATTATTAATTCAAATTACTACAAGTTTATTGTTCTGAACATTATTTTTTACATTTTAATAAGTTTTCGTTAATGTACAGATGTAAATACGTGGTAGATGTTCATTTTGTTACTAAGTAGGGATGGTATCTTGTTATGGAAGTAGGTGAGATTTCCGGACCTGGTCCGAGCGGTCGTTGTTGTAGGGCGGGGGGTGTGGTCGCGTCGTCACGTCGCCACCTCCGCCTTCATCTCACTTCATATACCACATGTTAAAGATGCGCTCAATCGGACAATTTTATTGCGTAATCCTGTGCAATATTTGTTAATTATAACGTCACGATAAGTCAAGTTACTGTCATGCCTCTTTGCATGTAACTAAAATTTTCTGGAGCAGTAATTGCCTGAGATTTCCTGTATTTAATGGTTTATTAAATTGCCCCATATCACTCAATGTAAATGTGGCGATATAACAACACTCGTACGTATGGACATTAAAGTAAATTGATCGATGGCAATACGTCCCAACAAACAAATGCTGTCCAAGATTATCCAATTAAATTGTCCATGTGAGTGCACCTGTAGTAATGTCTAGATTATTGGCAGGCCACATGCTAAGACTTTGTGGTCTTGTTTCTCTATAAATGTATTATGAAGTTATACTCTTTAGTTCGAGAAATCTCCAAGGTAACAGACTCGTCTCTTTTACATTTATATACAATACAAGGAATTATTTTGAATGAATTGTCCGATAATTATGATATTTATTGTTTGTAAGTTGTTATTGATTTGTATGAGCTGTAGGCAGTATTTAGTGAATGTGAACGCATCGGAAGTCTTTTCATATTGTGACTTTGTCGAGTCTTTTAAAAGTATTTCTATGAAAAAAATAATAATAAATAAAACTTGTGACTCAATACGTGTCTTTTATTTCTTATAATTAGAGATTAGTCAGGTATAATCTATAAGTCTAAAAATACAATTTTTCATCTTAAAAATATATTGCAGTGGCATAATTTAATTATCTCATCAAATAATTTAATATCTTTATCATACATACATTTGTCTTTTTAAAACTTCTGTCAACAACAACATACAGATTTTATTTAAATAGGTCATATTCTATAAAATTTACAATACGAAAAGAGTTAGTTTTAGTCTATGTAAGAATATATTCAATTGCTGGGGGCTTATTACAATTACATATGTTTTAAAAGTCTGCTTATTACCAACTTAAAAACATGACAGCTTTGAGTCACGAGACTAAAAAACTGACCTGTTATATCTGCATATTTAGTGACAATTTGCAAAGTAGTTCAACTTAATCCATAAATTATCAGATTTTAACGTAATACTATCATTAAACTATGGATTTTAAGCGGTTATATTTAATTTGAAATACTCTGGTATCAAGCGTTCATATTAAACTCCCTGGTCGGTGTCAGCGGTAGGCGAGCGGTGTCAGCTGCGCCGCCAGATGATGACGAGGCCGGACACGTCACTGGTGGCCAGCAGGCTCTCGTCGTAGCTGAAGCTTACGCCCAGCACCGGCGACGCGTGCCCTGCCATATTACCATTTTATTACTAGCCTTTACTTGCAACTCCGTCCACGTCCGGGATAAAAACTAGCCTATGTATCCACATAGTGATAAGTTTAACCATTAAGATGTTACATGCCTTCATATTTATGATATTAGTAAGAATAATCTGATAGTAATAACACATTTGATTAAAAATTCCTTACTCTTAAAAATGAAGGAATTCATAGCAAATCGTGTAAATTGACGATGCTACACAAAATCAAAACTCTCTCGGCTCTGATTCATAAGGAAATTGAGTAAACTATAAAAGTTACGATTTTGTGACATACAAAATGCACATGATATAGTACATTACTGCAACGGCCAGCAACTGAGGCATCGATGGACGAACGTGCAAATGTAGGCCGAGGCGTAGCCGAGGCACATACGTGAATCCATCAATGCCTAGTTGTGGCCAAGGCTTGTATAGTACTTTTCTCAAACAATGCGCGAAAATCAAAAACACAATTTTACTTTTTAAGTTCAATGACGAATAACGAACAATAATAATTTTTCACGCGCCATAATGTTCCTTTGTTTATTTTTTCAATAAACAAGCTTTCTATTAGTAAGCCACTTCGAAATTTAAATAAAACCTTTTATTACTTACCTCCTTGGTAGCCATGTTTCTAAGTAAAAGGTCATTCTATTTTAAAATTACAGGACAGATATGAGTTTACATAGTAATTTATCTGGCCGCAAAACACGACAGATATGGATTTTCATACAACTTTTGCCGGCCGCTGCCCGCATGTATCTGGCCAATACAGCAATTTTGATTTATTTCGAAGAAGATTGTTAAAATAATACTCACATTTCCAAGCATGTTTGAGAAAAAATTATTATGATAACGATTTTGCTATACGAAAAATGAAACTACAATCGTGTTAAATTTTAACGAGATCAATATGAAATAAAAACTTATTGACTGTAAGGAATCTTAAAAATCAATTCAAAATTGATGATATATGTATAGCTACAATAATCGCTTTACATAATGTAATATAATAACAAAAATTTGCCGCTGATTTAAGAATCTTTTTGTACTTTGTTGAAAATTGTAAGGTAAAGAAAAATAAATGTTATATTTACCTTGTAGTTTGTTCACCACTGGTTGATCAGCGTGACCTTCTATATCGAGGAAGTACACGCAGGAGTCCTCACTCCCGGTGACCACGCATACGCCGCGCCGGAACGACATTATCGGGCAGAACGTCGACTTAACACTGTGCACGCTGTGCAGCGTGTCGAAACGCTTCTTTAACACTAAACTGCCGTCGCGGTCCACTATCCTGAATTTAATGGAAGTTATTATGAACTATTTTTTATATATAATAAAATAACACTAACAGTGGGTGATGAGGGACTCTTAGTAATGACTGACGGCACCAGTGCTAGCAATAATAGGTCGACCTCCACGCGACCCCCCTGGAAACCATTACAATTATTTCTTATGAATCCGACACAAAGGACCAACTGGTCTGCTATATCTGAAACCGCTTGGAAGTCAATCAGATTGGATAAATTGATAGCGATGAAGCTGTTAGAATCCATTATTAACAAACCTTTTCTCCCGGGGGGGAAAGAGATTGTTAGTAATGTGGTCAAATAGCCTCATTGCTATCAATATACCTTATCAGGTCGACCTCCACGCGGTTCCCCCTGGAAACCATCGTGACTAATTTATTATTGAATTCGTCACAATGGTCTAACTGACTTTGCTTTCATCATCACCTATAATCGCTCACTGGTGCCCCGCCAGCGTATACCGATAGCGCAGGCGGGGTTACCATTCCATTGTCATCTATTTAAAAAAAAAACCTTTTCTACGGTTACTATGGTGACTGGAGAGGAGAGGAGAGGAGAGGAGAGGAGAGCAGGGCGCACCTGAAGAGATAGAGCGAGTTGTCGGCGGCGCTGACGAGCAGCGCGGGGTGGCGCGCCAGCCAGGGGCTCCAGCTGACGCAGCCGGCCGCGCCGCCCACGCTGCAGCGCCGCAGCTTGCTCAGTGCGCCGCCCGCGCCCTCCAGCCGGTAGCTCACTATCACGCCCTCACACACGAATGCTTACTATTATACAGTGCATAGTGCATCATATACAGCGGGTCGTCCATATGTATGCGCTAATATTATTTTCTCAAACATGCTTGGAAATGTGAGCATTATTTTGACAATCTTCTTCAAGATCAATCAAAATTGCCGTACTGGCCAGATACATGCGGGCAGCGGCCGGCAAAAGTTGTATGAAAATCCATATCTGTCGTGTTTTGCGGCCAGATAAATTACTATGTAAACTCATATCTGTCCTGTTATGTTTAAAAATGGAATTACTCACTTCGAAACATGGCTACCAAGGAAATAACTAATAAAAGGTTTTATTTAAATTTCAAAGTGGCTTGTAAATAGAAAGCTGTTTATTCAAAAAAAACAAAGGAACATTATGGCGCGTGAAATATTATTATTGTTCATTATTCGTTATTGAACTTAAAAAGTAAAATTGTGTTTTTGATTTCCGCGCATTGTTTGAGAAAAGTACTATACAAGCCTTGGCCACAACTAGGCATTAATGGACTCACGTATGTATGCCTCGGCTACGCCTCGGCCCACATTTACACGTTCGTCCATCAATGCCTCAGTTGCTGGCTGCTGCAGTAATATACTAATATATATTTTAATTTTTTTTTTTCAATGAATGTTAATGAAATGGTAACACCGCCTACGCTAATGATATACGTTGAAGGGGTACCAGTGAGGGATAATAGGTGAAAATGTAAGCAGGTCAGTTAGCAAATTGTGATGAATACATGTGGAATTCATCACGATGGTTTCCAAAGGAAATCAAGTGGAAGTCGACCTGATAGGATATATTGCTAGCAATGAGACTGGTGGACTACCAGTCATTACCAGGCATTATTAACAATAATATATATTTGAATATACATGATTATACATTTTTGATGCAGCTATCTATTTACGCATGCCTAACCGACCGCTCCAGAGGGGACAGAGATTGTTACTAATGGGGCAAGTAAGCACCATTATTAGCAATGTACCCTGTCAGGTCGACCTCCACGTGGTTCCCCCTGGAAACCATCGTGGCTAATTCTAGTTGAATCCGTCACGATGGGCTAACTGATCTGCTTTAATCTTCATCAGTCGTTTGTCACTGGTGCCTGGCCAGCGTATGCCAATAGCACGGGTAGGGTTACCATTTAATTATCATCCATTAAAAAAAAACCAACCGCTCCACTCCCACTCCCAGTTTTGGGTGGGAGATATTGATTATATTTGTGTTTCTAACCTTAATTTGTTAATTTCATTCTTAAGGTCTTTTTTTATACAACTTAGAATGGCAAACAAGCTGACGGCCCACCTGATGGAAAGTAGTAACCGTCGTCTATAGACATGAGCAGTACCATGGACATAACAGAGTATACTGTTTTGCCCATGATACCCCCCATGCGTTGCCATCTCTGAGGACTCAGGTGTTATTCCTCTGTACCCAGTAAATTCACGCCATATTCCATCCTTCAAACCGAAACACAGCCATGCAAACACAACTGCTTCATGGTAGAAACACGAATGGGACAGAGGTACCCAAGCAATCGACTTTTGTACAAAGTCTCCCTCTGGGAGACCCCCTTACTCTATGTGGCTCAATGTACTAGTTTTTAATAATAACTTTATTTAATAATAAGATACATACATTTAGATATACTAGCCACTAAACTAGGCCGAGACTCTATATTAGTGGATAGTTAACCCTTTCCACTCCAATGTCGAGTGTCACTCGACATTGATTTTATATCATACCAAAAGGGATTATAAAGATTAGAAATAAGAATTATAATATAGTATCCTGTAATTACTCATAAAATAAAGTTTATCATATAAGAAAAAATCAATTTTATTTACAAAACACGAAAAACCCTTAAAAGTTAAAAAACGCAATTTTAGCGTGTAGCTGGTGGACTAGAAAGAAAAAAAGGATTGGAGTGGAAAGGGTTAAATAACTTCCTTTGACTTAAACATTTATAAAAGACGTTACAATATCGAATATAAATATACTCAAATTTGCAATGTCCAAGATAATTTTGGTGCAACATAGTTAAACGTGGGTAGCATCATATTACCTCTCTTACAATTAAAATTATAGTTTATTATATATTTTTGTTTTTTGTTTATACAACTTAGAATGGCAAACAAGCTGATGTCCCATGATATATGATATATAACTGTGTTAACTGAAAATCCGCCAAATATAGCTTTAATTAGAATCTACAGTTAAAAAAAATAAGACATACCTACACAATAATAGCGGTAAAGAACTTTGTTCATTCTAAATTTAAACCTATAAAATGTAGCGCCAGTCAAAAAAGTCCACAGTGAAAAAGTGAAAAAAAAAAGTTTTAAAAGCAAACAAATTGAGAACTCCTTTATTAAAATCGGTTAAAAACATACCTGGTGGATTAATAAATAAATAAATACCTGTATAATATAGAGAGGAGAAAGATAGACCAGTAAATAGAAACAGTAAGTCTCAATACCTTATCGTTAGCGGCCCAAAACATTCTGCCGCTTGATTCGCACGCTATTGACAACACCCTGCCGCCTAGAATGCTGGTGCCGCCTGAAAATTGTATAAAAAAAAATGTAAATAAGTGTCATCTTGTAGATCTATTTCAGATAGCATTCTTTATGTTTAGTAATCTTTGTAGTTTGGAGTGTTTTTTTTTTTCTAATTTTCATTTTAGTTATAATCAGTGTAAAACTAAATAAGAAAGATTTGTTTTTGGTTTTAATGTTTTTTATATATAATATGTACGATATTTTATTTTTTTTTGTTTCTCTATTTATATCTATCTGCAATCAGGCTTTTTTAGTCATAATCAGATCTGTTGTTTTACAAATTTTGGACGTTAGTAGATACATATCCAGAGAGATGTCATCTCAAATCACATTTTTAAATGCTAACTTTCGACTAGTCAGCATTTAAAAATGTAATTTGTTTGAAAGAAAAAAATGTAAAAAAATGTAATCTTTTTAGTGTAGATAGGCAGTTATTTTTATCCAATAACTTCATGTCCAGTTTTTATGACATTTTAGTCTATTTGTATAAGTTTCACAGGCCCTCTGTATCTGTTCCATGATAACTGGTATTTCTAGAGACTCACCTAATCCCGTATCACTACATAGTATAAAACAAAGTCGCTGTCGCTGTCTGTCCGTCCCCATGTATGCTTAAATCTTTAAAACTACGCAAGGGATTTTGAAACGATTTTTTTTTATAGATAGAGTGATTCAAGAGGAAGGTTTATATGTATAATACATGCATAATATCGCAGAGACACATTGATAACTTTAGAGATTTCTAATGTGATGTCGTAAATAAACACACTTTTTTGCGCTTACATTGCAAACGCTGGCTGAACCCCACGAGATAAATCAAAATAATGTACTACAGTATTGTACACCTTAAAAAGATCAACAAAAAAGTCCGCGATGGTATATCTCTATCTCTTTAGAATATTCCACAATAACCATTTTATATCCTTCATATTTTACGGGAAAAAATTTCTTATTTACGAAGTGATTTTAAGCAATACAGCATTAATTTTTATCCAATTATGTACCTTAAATACATTGTCCATTTAATATAGATCAATATAGCTCTTTACAGCATGTAATTTAAATTAATATTTTTGAAAATATTACAGATTTAAAATACACGGACATAGCGGTTGCGTCGGTACCAACCGAGGGGAGGGGGGACTATTTAGTATCAGCATTGCACCCGTGCGAAGCCGGGGCGGGTCGCTAGTTCTTTATAAACCAGGGTGCTATGCTTACAGTTTTTTAAGGTTTGTTTTAGAAGCGTTGAAAGATTTCTATATTATAATGGAATGGTGATCCCCAAAGTTCTTTAATGTATACCCATACAGTCATTATTTATTTTATTTATTTATTTATTTATTGGAAAACCAACAGCTTACAATTTATAGCTTAAAACAATAACAACTTATCCATATAAAAAGCCAATAACAGGTTTTAGGGTTTATGATCCATTTATAAATGAGGAGTTCATTTTTAAGGTTTAATGAAGACTGTCTGCCCATTAACCAGTACAATATAATAATAAACAATAAGGAAGTACCACATTCGCGATTCACTGTTGATCCAAACGTTGGCTGGTTGAGAATGCTACTAGCATCAAGTCCACCTTTTATACCATATTTTCTTTTGGTCAATAAAGTTATTTAAATAAATAAATGTGCAGAAAAAAAAGTAAATATATCTATAACTGGTCTAATATTCATAGCACACGAGCTTTGCTTAGTTTGGGACAAATTGGCATTACATAATATGTCCAGTGGTATTTATTAATTATTCTTTTAGTATAAAAATACCTTATTTATTTATTTACACTTTATTGCCATTGCCACCATTTATAAAATAGTAAATACAACTAATCCTTACTCCTTACCTTTTGGATAAATTCCAGTGGATATGTTGAGTACTTCGACCATACCGCGGGCATTGCCTGCCTGTATAAAACTCTTAAGGAAGTAATTTTTTTTTTATACAACCAGGAAAAGTGGAAAACATGTATTATTATATCTAAACAGTACTATGGCAGTATATGACAGAATTTAATGTGACGCCCATGGTATATCATGCCTAAGTACTGAGGTCAAGTGACCTGATACAAGAATTGATAACGCACAGGTGGCCATTTGTTCGTGTAGTCCCGGCATAGAATAGGCCATCCCTTCCTTTCCCGTGGATGTCGTAAGAGGCGACTAAGAGAGGGCGAGGAATCTGCAGCAGCATCACTCTTAAAACATCTGTAAAGCCTAACTACGGTTGCCAATCCGCATGCCAAGCGTGGCAACTATTAGCAAAACCCCTCAAGAGGGAGGCTTATGTTCAGCGGTGGACAGTTGAAGGCTGATACGATTATATAATGAGGTGAACATTTGGACGACTCCCCACTAGATGGAGTGACGATTTAAAATGCATTGCAGGGAGTCAGTGGATGCAGGACCGTTCCAATCTATGAAGTAGGCTTATGTTCAGCAGTGGCCAGATAACAGCTGATATGATGAGTGAACGTTTACTATTAGATGAATCACAGATTGGATGCTAGCTTTTATACTTTTTCAAGCGACTTCAATAAGAAGGTTATATTTTTTGTACACCGATTTGGAAAATTCTTGTTATATATATATTGTTTATTGTACTAAAATATACAGTAACAATTTTACATATTGGTCCTGTAGAAATTTTATCAAATTTGGTTTAGTAGTTTAGTATTATGAAAAGTATATATTTTAATCTGTCTTACAGGATAAGAGACAGGAATTAACGCGATCATTTAGGAAACTATAATCTGAGATATTTTGATGTTTCAATCAAATTTCACCGGCCATGGTCACGAGTAGACTGATGTAGCACTATCATTCCTCCGCTTCCGCGACAGACGTTTTTTGTTTTCTTTTTTTCTTCTACCCACTCATTGTCTCAAATCATTTAATTATAGCGTTAATTGGTTGAAAAATATCCTGGTATAGCAAGGATACGATGACCATGTTGTTGTTGGCGGGCTGGAAGACGCAGCAGAGCAGCGGCGCGGCGAGCTGGTCGGGCACGGCGCGCAGCCGGCGCCGCGCCGCCACCTCCCACAGGCACAGCGCGCCGTCCAGCCCGCACGTCACCAGCAACTCGTTCGACGCCGACCAGTCGCACCCTTCACCCGCACCCGTAACAATACGTGCTGCACTTATATGTATACCATAGTGGAGACCCGACCTGACTTCATACTGCTAGATAGAATTTTCGAAAATAATACTACATTACTCGTTAATAATGTAGCTTCTTATAGGTGAAAGATTTTTTAAAATCGATTGAGTAGTTTTTGAGTTTTTTCATTACAAACAATAATAAAAATTCTATTTTTCATTAATAGAAATCGGCATTCATTAATTTAACTATAACTATTTACGATGAATTTTTTTAGAACAGTTAAACCTGTGATAGTACATCAGATGCTTACAGAAGTTGGATTTAGTGTACAATCTGTAATAGGTAAACTTAATTAGCCACTTGACCCTGCTATGTGATTTACTAAAAGCTTATTCACGCGTATTTTAAAGATTGTAGAATTGTAAGTTGTTGGAAACATATGCGATAATAGGGGGCAATAAAAAGTAAATGATCCAATGAACATATAACAAACTTGCATACAACTTACCGGTAACGGCCTTAGTGTGTCCTTCAAGTATAAAGCTGACGCGGGGAGGCGACGCTGTCACGTCACAGATGGACACGGTGCCATCGTGCGACGCACAGCACAACTTCGATCTATCATTGTTGGCAAACTTCACTACACTAACTTGATCAGTGTGCTGAAATATGGATGAAAAAATATACTCTTACGGGGGAGAAAGGGATCGTTAGTAATGGAAACTAAGAATCCCATTGCTAGCAATATACCCAACCAGGTCGAGCTCCTCACGTATCTCCCTGGAAACTATCATGGTTAATTCCTGATGAATTCATCATGATGGGCTAACTGGCCTGTTTTCATTCTCATCAATCACCCTTCACTGGTGCTCCGCCAGTGTATCCTGTTAGCGCAGAGGAATTACCATTCCATTTTCACCCATAAAAAAAAAAGACTATACCTCTTATGAGGTAACCAGATCATGTTTAAAATGTCACAATTGGCTATGCCTTTCCTCCTCATCTGGATTATAGATGACAAACACAAAAAGTAGATAAAATTCCCCATGTGCAAGTATATAAACATTGTTAAAAAATAAACATAAATTTAAAAAAAATAAACAATTGTCCTGTAGTCTAGGTATAGAATAGGCCACCCCTTCCTTTCCCGTGAGTGTTGTAAGAGGTGACTAAGAAAACTTAAATGTTGAGGGATGGGCAGTAAAGTCCTTTTTAAATCATCGCCAACACCAAACTGCGGTTACCAACGCGTCTGCTAAGCGTGGCAACTACTGGCAATGCCCTCCTTATGGGGGAGGCTATATTCAACAGTGGACAGTTAATGACTGATACAATATTAAGTTTACATTATCAATACTCGACTATTCAAAACTACCTTCATATTGAAATTATTGTATGAGATCATAATACCTATTAGTGAATATGCAATATAGCAAAAAAAAAACCAAACATGGTACATAACAACTACTGGCAAAATTTCTCTTATAAGGGAGCTTCAGCACTGAGCAGTTAACAGCTGATATGATGATGATTATGATGACATACAATTTGTACAAAATATATACATTATTAGAGATTCTTTGTTTAAATTGTGTTTTACGTTGTATAAAATTCTCAGGACATTCTAAGTTGTATAAAGAAAATAATGTGTATGAAAGTAATATTGATTAATGGTTTAATAATTTTTTTTAATATAACATTAAGAATCGTACCTGGTCAAATATATGATGAACTCCAGAAAATGCATAATTTTCAGATATTGTCATATCATTCTTTTTCTTATTAGAACTTGGATAATCATCAAACGCCAAACTAGCCTAAAATGTAAACATTAATAATTCATAAAACAATTAACACATATGGAATCTGGTGGTCTACCATGAAACAAAAATCCGAATTTTCTGGCTCAATTTCGTGTTTTTGTTCGTACGAAAATCGACCCAGTAAATGAAGCTTAATATTTCATTCTTCATAAATCCTATCCTGATAGTCCAGAGGAACGATATTTTAACATTTTTAATAATTTTAAATGGCATGTATTATGTAATTTTAACATTAAATTTCTGTTTTGTTCGTGCCCGAAATTTCGGAAAATATCTCATGGTAGGCCCTCTGTTTATATTCTCTAAAACAAAATAATAATAGGAAAATTATTTCAGAACTAGTATAGACCTCAGATAAGTACAGACATAAATCATGATTAATAAGCATGAAATAAGATAAACATTTTATATATTAATGTAATAAATTGCCAATCAGTGTACTTAATTTAATCCATTTAGTCATTTGAATAATAAACATGTAAATATCTACACTGGCATTTATAATACATATTATTAGGATTATAAGTATTAGAAATAACTAACCTTACTACTAGATCTTGCACGTGAGGAAGCTGAACTGATGGAGATGTTATCTTGAACCCCATAGCGTCTTTGTAGCAGCTGACTTCTAATATTTATGTATTTCTTTATTGTTTCTATATCCTAATAATGCAAATAAATACATATAATCTAAGATATCACAATAAACAAATACAAATTTTAAAGAAATTGTAGATGACTTTTTATTTACCTTAAATTTAGCATTTTCTCGAAGAAGTTGACTGCGGCGTCGTATGTATAAAGTTTCTGTGAAACAATGCTAATTATTTTTATTATGTTTTATTAATTATTTGGCTTTTATGTAACATGTACTTTAGCAACTTCCTTTGAGACAAGCAAAGGAATTTGTTGACAGTACAATAGAAAATTTAAAAGAATAAAATATTTAATAAATTATTTATTAAAAAAAAGTTGAAATTCTAAAACATAATTCACTAATATATAATAATATATCACTAATATATAATACAAAAAAATGTGCATTATTAACTAAAATTATTGTGCACCTTATGAAGAGTAATAAATGATCAAACGGAACTAATGAATCCTGTAATGGGCATATTTTTAACTTACTGAAATTGGGGTTGTTAGGAGCTCGATATGCATTGAAACGAGCATCCAGAGCAAATATTTGTTGTTGAAAAGCAGCAGCCATATTTATAAGTAACTTCGCATTCTCCCTATTAGTTCTCTGTAAAGATTTTTTTGGTTATAATTTGTTTATGAGTAATTTTTTAAACATAAACACGGGCTGGAAATGCAAAATCATGTTACTAGATGTTTTCTAAATTAAACAAGATATTGTGAAACAGATTTGCATCACGTAATTTGTAAAGCGATAATACGATAGGTAAATAATTATGATTCCATTAGTTATTTATTATAGCAGCCAGCGGAGCAGAGTTACAAAGAAGAAAATCATTTATAGATTCTTCTTTAATCCAGGTAGTTTAAACTGGTCACGGCGGTCAAAAATGGATTTAACTGGCTTTAAATTGCTATTTACCAAAAGAGAAAATAAATTACCTTTTGACTAATTAATAAGTTTGACGATAGAAAGTATATTGTTCATATAATTAAACTAGGAATCATACTGATACATAAATTCCTATTTTATTTTGTAATTTTCAATTCCTTGACAACTATCAACCACGAAACATAACACAACAGGTATTTATAAATCAATTCTATTAATTAGCATAATAAAATAAAATATTTCTTTTGCAATTGTTTACATATAATGTCAAAATAAGCAAAATGCACTAATGATGGAGACTGACAAGTACTGACATATTGATAACTGTCAACCTAAGCTTACTGACAGACGGCATCTATCAAAGATTCGCATAGTACATGCAGCATCTCAGATTGATAATCATGTATTATCACAAATCTATTAAAAGGTCATTGAATTTTACTTGTTAACGTCACATAAAATTCAATAACATTTTTTTTATACAACTTAGAATGGCAAACAAGCTGACGGCCCACCTGATGGAAAGTGGTAACCGTCGCCTATAGACATGAGCAGTACCACGGACATAACAGACTATACTGTTTCGTCCATGATACCCCCCATGCGTTGCCATCCCTGAGGACTCAGGTGTTATTCCTCTGTACCCAGTAAATTCATGCCATATCCCATCCTTCAAACCGAAACACAGCCATGCAAACACAACTGCTTCACGGTTGAAACACGAATGGGACAGAGGTACCCAAGCAATCGACTTTTGTACAAAGTCTCCCTCAAAACATACTCATACATATAATATTGCTACTACCATAATTGTGAGTGACTGACGTTGGTTAAAATTATTTTCATTGATTAATAATAGTGATCGTAAAATGTGGGCAGAAATGGTCGTAAAAATATATAAAGATCGATTACCATTGAAAAGAAAGAAAGAAATCTATTTAAAAATTTGTAAAATATAAATTCATACTACGCTCAAAGTTGTTATTCGTTGTTCTTAGATTATACCTTAAGGATTTCTATGACACATTGGCAAAAATTCCGTTCTTATTTGAAATTAAGAAACAAAAAACAAACCTTTCTAAACTAGCTCGTGTCTGGAGTCATCTATTGTATGATTTCCTCATAAATCATCCCCAGTAAAAGTCTACATACGATTTTATAAAGACTATACTGAGAATCATTTCTCTAAATTTATCCCTTAATCTTATTAGGTTTTTTATAATGATAATTTCGCCAAATTACTGTTTTATAAACAATTACAAACTAAAATTTTGATTTAAATTTATTAGAAAATTTGTGATATCGTAATAGCTTTTTTTTTATACCACTGGGGTGGCAAACAAGCATACGACCCACGTGATGGTAAGCGGTTACCGTAGCCTATGAACGCCTGCAATACCAGAGGTATTATGCGCGCGTTGCCGACCCTGAAGAAACCTTCTTACCCCCCTTTTGAAGAACATGGTGTAGTCTCTTGGGAGGTATATATAATATAGGTAGTCGCAAAAAAATTCAAATACAATTTAGTAGGTATCTCCATCTTTTGAAAGATGTTTAAAAATAATTTTTGTGAGTCATTTCTATGATATTATTGATATTAAAATTCATAAGCCGTTAAAAAAACGTGTTGCGCAGCGCTGGGTGTAGACTGACACGCGGTGCTCTCCTCGAAATCATCATGGTTAATTCTTAATGAATTCGTTATGATGGGCGAACTAATTTGCTTTTACCGTCATCTATAATCCCTCAAAAGTATCCCACCAGCATACACTATTAGCGCAGGAATGTTACTATTCCATCTTTATCTATCTTCTGCACATTATTCTCTTTTCATCAGGTAAAAAAATGTTGCATCTTTCAAGGGTAATTAACTAGAATACAGTGAAATAAATTAGTTGCAAGTCAAGACACAAACTACTACATATATTTATAGAATTACACCAACACTTTAGTAGATAAAGTTTTCTATTCTGGGAAAAGAAACATTACCTTGAAATGTTGGTAGTAAATTGATAGTATATAACGAGTGCGGGAGCCGGGGACGGGCCGGTCTCGCGGCCGCGAACTCCGAGAGGCCGGGCTGCTTGGACCTTATGCATTATACATCGGAAGGTTATTTATCACGCACCCACACAAACGAGCTAATCGCGCGTCCTCAACGCGCGCGCGAGTTGAGGCCAGCGATTTCCCGGAATCCTTGTTTCCGATTCCGAAATACTCGACGCGGTCTTACCAAGAAATCTCGACGGGTGTTATTCTGGGGCAATGCCGTGTAAAACCCAAAACACGTAGCTTTCTAGCGAGGTGGCTCTGCCGTTATAAATAATCAGAATGCGTAAAGAGGAGTCGGTGACCCTCGATTACGGACATTATTTGTTTTACTAAGAAATACTTTCCAATTTATTTTATAACGTCATGGCATAGTGGTTTACTATCGCGACTAATAAAACACCGGTCAGATGTTCAAATTTGAATCGGACAGACATCAAGGAACCTTTATGATTTTTTTTTATGCAACTTAGAATAGCTAACGAGCTGAAGGCCCACCTGATGGAAAGTGGTAATCTTCTAATGTCGTCTGTAAGACTCCGTGAATATTTTTTAATTTTCTATATTCTCTAACTAGCTCTATCCCGTGGCTTCACCAGCGTGAGTCACGTATCCTATGTCCTACGCGTCTACCAAATTTCTTTCAAATTCGTTCAGCATTTTTTGCGTGAAAGAGCAACATACTGTTACATCAAATTTAATTGTATTCGGTGAAATGTGAGTAAATAAGCTATACCATCGATAGATAATGTATTTACGTAATTACATAACAGCTATATTTATGTTTATATCAGTTTCCCTTATAAACAACAGTAAGCTTATTCTTTTGTCTACCTCATCAGAGGTAAATGTGATTGTACGTATATACGTATTAATTTTACATTATTAAGTATAATATTCTTAACTCTATAGGTATATCAATAATGGGTATTGTAAATAAAACAATCTTATTGCATCTCATTTATAATTATGAAAATTTAATATCTAAAATTCATTCATACAATAAACGTACGTCTAGTCAAGGGCGTGGATCATCATGGCGTAGCATTAGTGTGCGACTCTATGTGTAAATTTACATCTCCAACCATTTATTCGTAAAATGTATAAATAATATAACATTTTTTTTAATATATATTATTCCTACTAAAACCTGATGTAAAAAACAACATAGAACACCAATATCTAAGATCATAATACAATATCCACGACAATAACAGCTGAACTATGGTATATAGATTGTATTTTGTAAAAATACATAATCGAATTGACATTCTAAATCACATTTATGTATAAATTGAAAATATGAATAACATAATTAATTGATATTATTAATTAACTCAGTCAGTCAAAAACTTAATAAAACTTATAAGAGGCAAGTATCCCTAATAAAAAAATAATAATATAGTTTACGCACTTACCAGCTAAGTTTTTACATTTAAACCAATATTACTACTGTACACATTGTATAATTTCAACAATTTAGTATCGTGAGCTTGTTTTAGTATTAAACACCAACCAAGCACTGGAAAACTTAAAGCTAAATACAAAATACAACCAACGACATTGATCACACGATTCCTCGGTGCGAATTGATATACATTTATCGCGCGAGAAATAAGCAGTGATTTATTGTTGCAAAAAGTTCTAAATATTTTAGGACAAATTCATAGACATGTGTTCATATAAAATTATTAGGATCTGCGCAGACGAGAGACGTATTTTCCTTGGTGAATAAAAAATAAAAAAAAACTAGCACGGATATACTATGTTAGTAGCATGAAGTCTTATGACGAACAAAAATGTACATTTAAATCGCTGAAAATCACGCCTGCATCTGCTCAGGCCTTTTATAATTTTTTTTATACAATTGCAAAATTTTAATTATACCTATTTCATATATCGTGAATAATTTAGCTGTTCTGTTGAAACTAAATTATGTATTGTCATCTTAATCTTTTATGTGAATATATCTGCCAAACTCTTAGAATTCTGTGCCTAAAGAACGAATTGGATTCCTCTGTTGCTATCACCATGCAGCTATCCGTCTGTATGTCATGGATTAAACTTCTAGTAGTTATAATTTACATACCTGCAATTCTCGGATATGTCAGGAATGTTATTATAGTTCACTGTTACCTACAGAGCCGTCAGATCATATTTGCAAAAAATTCATCAAAAATCTCATATGAGAAAATGTTTATAATTTGTTGTTGGACCAAAATAATATCGAAGAAAAAACGTAAAATACCTTTTTTCTGGTCTTTCACATTTTAATATATAATACTACAATTCATAGACAATTAAATAGTCAATTCTTATAGCAGCTAAAACAATGGCAATATGAAACGCAATAGATACAGATGCGAAAAAAAAAACAATTAGAATCATGTGATAAAACTGTATTGGCTTATTTCGTCTGGTTGTTAGGGAGCAGATTTTATTTAATTGCTAGTTTATGCCACGGTTTTGCCTACGTGAATTAGAATAAAAAGGGTCCTATATATTAACGTAACATATGGTCCATCAGTATCAAATTTTATTTATACCATTTATCTTTATAAACTTTCCCGTTAACAACATTAAGAAAGATACTAAGATTATCGTTTCCCATTATACATTATTTATTATAAATTATAGCTAGTTTCGCTATCTGTAGGTCCCCATAAATAAAAAAAAAATTAACTAAGATGTTATTACTAATTCATGATAGTTGATATTCCGAAATAAACCTACAATTATTACAAATTAAGATTACTATTGTAAAGAACTAAGAAGACTCGTTACAATGAATTAAAGAACTCTACCTAGAAGTTAAGGCCGTGTATAGGAACTTGTGAAAAAACATTAAAACAATATTAACAATAAAAGAGGAATTGATTGAATACAGGTCATCGATATAAACTGATTGATTCACTATCAGGTATTTAGGCAAGACCCGGCTATGTATTATGAATGAACTAACTGGTGTGACGTAGCAATATAAGTACATAGTTACGTAGGTACATGTTGATATAATACTTAACAAACAGACGTTCTCGGTACGGATTTAAGGAAACAAAACCGACAAATCCTGTATAATTAATGTATGTGTACATTGACACTAGCGATGTGCGGTGATTTATCTCTGCAGTTTCCTTATAAATTGATATAGAAATTGAGTACAGAAGTATACTAAATTAATGGTTTCAGGCGCAGTTACATTGTTGGGAAAGAGTAAGGGAAGAAAAATTACTGTTATTTTTTTATAATACAAAGGGTAAACGAGCATGCGGTTCACCTGAAGGTAAGCAATAACCGCCACCCGCACACCCAAAACACCAGAAGCATTGCGTGAGGTGTGCTGTTTGTCTTTTAAAAACGAATGTGCTCTGTGTCAACTTATCGCTGAGATATAAGTCTAATAATAATATAATTACTCCTAAATTTGTAAAAAAAAATCAAATAAAAAGGAATATAGGCTTTGAGAGACTACGAGACCTAAGAATAGATTGAACTAATGAAGCGACAATTACGAGCAATAATGTTTTTTTATGTACTTAGTTAAATATTCTTTTTAATAGCCAATTTAATCAGTCCCATTAGCACCTTTTCCTGGAACCGTAATTCTAAGGAAAATTTTAAGTTTTATATTACCTACTTACATGTTTTATAATACGTTTTTATCATGTTTTTTTAGAGATATCTACAAAGTAAAAGTCCAATATTCGCGCCTGAAGATAATAACTATTTTGTAACCTGTACTTGTAAGTTTTTAAGTTAATATTAAAATTTATTTTGTTGTTATAAAAATAAGCATTCGCCTTCTACAATATAATTAGAAATACATAAAACAAGATGACGTAAAATGGCATGTTAATTACGTATCAAAGAAGAGATTGATGGGACTATTTAAAATTTACATTAAGGGAAGTAAACACATTGAGACAATCCTGTTTGTTGACAATAATATTCACAGATATGTAGGGTACCTACATATTCATATAATTAACATAATAGTAAGATATACGTTATCATTAACCCTATTAAAATAGTCTAGTTACAGGGAAATGGACATCTGAAGGAATATTCCACAGCTATTTCCTCGGAACCTAACTGTCAAGTGTGTGAGCCTAATACTCAGCATACAAATGTGATACATGTAAAAAAGACCGCTTACGATTTACCTAATGCGCCAATACTATACCCGTGTCACGTTCAGAGTTTAGTTTTAAATGATATTCGTTGAAGTACTCTAATGGTTATGCGTGAATGTAATTTTCGTCAAACACTAAATATATATACGAGGTACATTTCTTACGGATTTTTATGTGTCTCTTTTTATTATTTAAACATTTCTGCAACAGATATTTAGTAAATTAATTTGAAAACGACCAGCTATACCGGGTCGGTCAAAAGGTATACCAACCCAAAACTCAATATTCAGGTAACTAAATAATTGTTACCTGAATATTGAGTTTCGGGTAAAAAGTAAAAAAAGAAATGCGAAAAAAAATTACTGAATCTTTTAAATTTAATAATAATAATCGAAAGCCAAGTTAAATCAAAAATTTTAAATATTTTTTTTTATTTCTATAAATGATTTTTCTGTAATTATATTACACGTTACTGAGTTTCGTGTGGGCATCCCTTTCAAGAAACCCTATATATATATATATATATATATTTTATATCAAATATAAACAAAAATACTATATCAATAAATATGTAAAAAGTCGTCAGCGATCATTTTAGTATGCACACCGGTATGTATTTGTTGTTTATAAATTGGTTGTTTCCGTCCATCGTCGAATGAAGTGATTTGATTGAAAGATTTTGTACGATCAGAGCAACCGGTTTAGGGGGCCATAGTCAAGACTCAGGCAGGAGTCTTTTTAGCAGGTCACTTGTTTATGAACTTGACCTAAGGCTTCATTCACATCGACGAATAATTTTTATTTTTACAGTGGTCACATTCTTACGACAGTACCGTGTCCACGTGTACACGAATCGTGAAAAATACGAATACGACCAAAAAAGACGAACTCGCCACGACGAGTTGTCACGAATTGTATTAAGTTTTGATTTCTAAAAACCACTATCTATCCGTTTTCTTACGAATTATTATTGATAACAAGTCGTGAACGACGGATTTCAGTCAACGGACCGTTAATTACTTGAAGCCAATTAGAAATATAAAAATGCCATTGTTTTAATTTACTTTAATAGATTATATATATATATATTTATATTTTTAAATAATCCTTTTTAATATTCATCAAAACCTTAACGATCGCGCTAAAATTAGCGTTAAATATTTTTTAAAAAAGCAGAAAGATACAAATAAAATATTATTTTTTTTTATGTTTAGCACCTCTCAAAACTAGGCACGCGCATCACATATCCTTATCAACTTACGTCTACATTACTAATGCTTTAATTCACAGATCTATTGTTCTAAGTCGTTGTTAAATTCTATAGTAAATTCATCAGTAACAGGACAATTTCATGATTCACCCCCCAACCCCCCTAAACTTAATTACGATAAATTAACTAACATTAGAAAGAAACTTACTTATATTACAACATACTAGCTATAATAGTAATCACCCTATACAATAATGGCCTTTGATGACTTGAGATAAGCTTGTCTCTAATAAATAGGTCGTTAATATGTTTATACAATATAAGACTTACAAACACGGAGTTTCGGGGGGAAAGGGATTGTTAGCAATGGAGTTTGACAGCCCCATTGCTAGCAATATGCCCTATTAGGTCGACCTCCACGTGGTTCCCCTTGGAAACCATCGTGAACAATTCTTGTTGAATTCGTCACGATGGGCCAACTGATCTGCTTCATCCTCACCTATCATCCTTCACTGGTGCCCCGCCGGTGTATACCGATAGCGCGGGTGGGGATACCATTATTACCCATTAAAAAAAAAAACAAAAAAACACGGAGTTTCTAACGAAACCGTTTACAAAACAATCATCATTATTCGAATTACGATAATAACACACGATTCGTTATGAGATATTAATGGGCGTAATAAACTGATTATCGGATGTGAATGTCATAGAATTATGGTGTTCCGCGTAAGTACGAGGGCGGCGCGTCGTATTATTATTATACATCTATCTGTTTGTCGATTCTTGAAATCGGACGATTAGTCCAACCAGTTGATAGTTTGCGGGGAAGACTTAATGCGCCCGCACCTTCTCGGAAACGAAAGCGAGATAGCCGCTAGTGAGAAATGCGATTATCGTAATAACCTCTCGGAACGAGAAGGCCCTTTCCGATTTTTGTTTGTTAATGGAGTAACGTGCGCTTGTTTGAACAGGCTGGCACCCTTCGCTGACAGATAACGTATTTGGATCAATACGACACATGTGTTCACCACACCAGCGGGACACTCATCTATAGTAGGATACACTCGGTCTTACTATAGGGGGGGGGGGAATTGTTAGTAATACCAGTCCCATTGCAGACAATATACTATGTCAGGTCGACCTCCACGTGGTCTCCCCTGAAAACTAACTAACTGGCTTGTTTTAGAAATATAGTTTTCAAGTATGGTTTTGATTCGTTTCGTCATAGATAATTGTAATTTTAATGACGTTTTAAATTTCTGTCATGATTTCATATTGATTACATTTGAAAGGATCGCGAGAAAAAGTAAGATGGCGTGTTGAGCAGCGTAATGAATTAATAACGCGGACTCTTGTTACATTTTAATGATCATTAATCTCTTCAATCGATGTTAGACGTCAAAGATTTTGTCAATTAAATCGATTTGGCAACATATACAGAATTTTACAACGCTTAGGTTTACTTCATGTATTAAACACTCCCAACTTATTATGGGAATACGGGGAATAGGTTATATTGTGGAACGACTATCATGAGTAACATTAGTTTTACGTCGTTTCTTTACAATGTTGTAAATAAGTGGTGGATAAAAAAGATCAGCGAAGGGTGTCGCCTGATTATAATTGAAGTACTGTACAGTTAATAGACTTTCTAAGAAGAGACTACTGATTGGGAAAAAATGTTCACAAGTGACGGTCCCGTACAGGCCAATGCTGCGTAGGACGACCTCCCACTAGATGTAGTAACAACGAAATTCCAGGGAACCGATGAGTACAAGATCAATTACTTGCTACCGTTTGCGTTCAGAAGTGACCATTGAAATATATGGCAAGGCTGTAATATATTTAAATCTATTTTACAGATAATAATGCCAACAGAAGCCGCAGCTTACATATAGTAACATTTATAATAATACAAGAATTCTTTACAAAACATGCACAAAAATATTTTTACATATTTTTTTTTAATTTTCAAAAGCGAAGCAGAATAAGATAAATTGTATAGATATTGTCTATAGACAACTACATAAGGCCTCATTCACATCGACAAATCGAGAATTAATACGAATACTCTTTTATTTTGCATGCTTTTATTTTAGTAGCTCTAAACCTTCTGTATCCGTATACACACTGTCATGTAACGTACAATAATCAAATACTAATTATTAATGAATTAATTATATATTAAACTCTTTATTGTACATAAAATGACAGAATAAAGGATGTACAATTACAAAAAGTGGCTCAGTTCTAAAAGCGATATCTTATAGACAACTTAAATATCTATTTTGTAAATCAACATTTAAGCTGAATCGTTAATGACCAATTCGAGGAATCGTATTAAATCACAATTCGGTTTATCTCTATTTAACAATAATAAACAATCTTCATGATCAATGTGAACGGGCCTTAAATGCTGTAAAGAGTAAAAGTATGTTGTTATAAATTACTCCCAGTCATCGTCGGTGGAAGAGTTCTGCGGTGAGGAGGTGTCGGGCCCCGGTATGATGCTAGCCAGGGTGTGGAGCACGGAGCCGCCGCCGGATCGTTCCGCGCCGGATATACCTCGACGGCGCATCGACAGCTTGGCGTGAAGATCAGCCATGAGGTCACCACCGCTAGCAGCTTGAGTCTGTCAACAAAAATACATTTATTGTATACATACAATTCCATGTGGCATAGAATAGGCCATCCCTTCTTTTGCTGTGGGTCTGTTAGAAGTAACTAAGGGAACAATGGTAGATACGGGCAGCAGCATCCCTTTTAAAACATCTCTAATGCCATGTGGTTGCCAATCCGCCTACCAAGCGTGGCAACAACTAGCAAAACCCTCTTTTTCGGAAAGGCCTATGTTCAGCAGTGGATAGTAGACGGCTGATATAATGATACAGTTCAAGGTAAGAAATTTGGACAAAACCATAGACAATAAAGACTAAGCAGGTCACGTGATACAAAAATTAAGTTTAAATTACATGTCGGTTACATAGTTTGGTTTTATAATCTATATTGATCGTAAAAAGAATTCATGAAACTAAACACATCGATCGATAAAAATATTGTAGTATCCATGCAAGTACAATTTCAAAATTTTTTCATTTTAATATTCTTGGAAAAAGTAACTGATTAGCATTTTGTATCAAGACGATATAAATAGCAATTTGTATAAATAGCAATATTGAGTATTTACTTCATTATAAAAAAAATAAATATTCTCAATTCGATTGTATTTTATTATTATTTTAGTATCAGTATTTTTTATTATTATTTAGTATTAGTATATTTTATTAGTATTTTATTAAGGATAAAAATATATACATAATATAAGTATAATGTAAAAAGATATAAAATAATATATCTAATCACAATTACTTATTTCCTTACTCTAATATTTTGAAAATTAGAAAACAAGTAACCAAATTGGACTCCAGTGTCAGCAGTGTCAGCTAACTCAAATATAATTGTACTACTTCCGAAAAGTAACGAAAGAAAAAAAAAAGCTGTATATTGAAAAAAGGAACGCCCGCAGTGAATTTCGAAGACAATAAAAGCCAGAAGGGAACACGCAGTCATAATGAATGGATACATTTACACGCCCACACGTTAATTTGACATGAAACTGCATATTTTAAATATATCGGCCATTATAAAAACGGCCATTAAAGGTGGCCAAAGCTAATTACAATTTTTATAAAAATACATTTACTTAATACAGTGTATACTCTATTTAGCGAATTTCTATGTAACGAAAAAAAAAATTTAGAAATTGTTTTGTTTAGTTTACATTGTTACCTTTGTATTGAAACGCTCTTTATAGCGTTGCAACCACTCTCAATAGCGAAACAATACATCGTTATATAGATCCCAATAAACATTAGTTTGACTTGCCTTCAAACACAATACTGACACAGAGTCGTAAATATTTCGTACTTACCATGAAATTTTTAGAATTGTATTCATTTGTTTGTTGTAATTGCTTAGCACATGTTCACTTACTGTACTTCCTACTGTCGTCTTATTTCTAAGAGTTATCTTTACGTTATTCTTAGTTGGACCAATTTTAATACTATTTTTTTTTATACAACTTAGAATGGCAAACAAGCTGATGGCCCACCTGATGGAAAGTGGTAACCGTCGCCTGTAGACATGAGCAGTACCATGGAAATAACAGAGTACACTGTTTCGTCCATGATACCCCCCATGCGTTGCCATTCTTGAGGACTCAGGTGTTATTCCTCTGTACCCTGTAAATTCACGCCATATCCCACCCTTCAAACCGAAACACAGCCATACAAACACAACTGCTTCACGGTTGAAACACGAATGGAACAGAGGTACCCAAGCAATCGACTTTTGTACAAAGTCTCCCTTTGGTATTTCTATATGACCAATCTGTAAGTAGTAGTATAAGTGTATATCCTTTCAAATAAAAAACGAATTTTCCAACAGACGAAATTAGAAGGTAACAATCATAAAAAAAAATACAACTGAATCTAGAATCTATTTATTTTTAAAGTTGGTTGAAAAGAGAATTAGCTTAACAGGTGGCACCGTTTTGAAGTGATGCACTTATATTTAACACTTGATTTTAATTTATTAACATAGATGTGAAAATGAGTTTATTTGTCATATCTCAGCGCCTCAATGGCTCATTCGATAATTATCATGTGGCATACGGGTAATATGTGACACGAAAAACGACATAGACTACTTTTTTATTTTTTATCACGATTACACGCGAACAAAGTCGCTAGTCACAACTAGTTCAGTTTAAATATTATCCAACAACAATAAGTCACTTAGGAGTTTTTAGCGCTTCCCAGAAATTCGAACTCTAAATATTAATCAAACCAAAACGGGGTAAAGTTTATCTCAAACTATAGAGTTATCGATGCTGTTTATTGTCTATCGTACATTAAATGCCTTTGGTACAGTCCCGCAGTAAATTTTGTGTACCTAAACAGTAACGTAGATAATAAATTGAAACGGCAAACATTAGTCCGGCTTCCGCACCATTTTTTTTTTTTTATATATATTTTCGCGGAAAAATTCGGTCGGTCGAAATGTATTCTATGAAACACACACTGGTCCACATCGTTCTTACTTATCTCATCTGATGTCGCTTGTATGGTGATGCAAAACCGCTCTTATGTAAAAACAATGTGGTCTACAATCGTATGAACAAGTATTAAAATGTGCACTGCGAAACGTATTTCAATCGACTCTGTCTCAAGATGGAGATGCGACGGTGCAACTTTTTGTTGACACATCAAATTAACTATGGATTTCGAACGACAGTTGGAATTATGTGGTTGCATAGAAAAAATATTTATGTTGTATGATTATAGTTGTACTAGCTTTTACCGCAGTCCCGCGTGTTCGGATATGTTGATTCGCTGCTGTAATAATAGACTATCCTTCTTTATCCCGAATAGTAAATACAACCTATACCAAAATTTAAGTTCAGTGTAAAGACTTCTAATAAGAGTTAATCAGTTTATATTCTTAAAAATACCACTAATTTGAACCGATTTCAAAAAGAAAGAGGTTCGCGATTCGGTTGTAATTTTTTACGTTTATTACCTTATAATTCTGTTACTTATAAACCATTTTGGATTTTTTTAAAAAAAAGGATATATGTACTAAAATTAGACTCATAGAAATATTATAAAAATAATTTAAGTAGTTTTTAAATCACAATAACTAGTTTTGTCACCATTAAAGTCCTTTTTTATGTCTTTTATTACGGTAAGTTTTATATACAATTTACACCTGTACAAAGTAGGGGCGGCGCACTAGTCTAGAATAAATTTGATCGCACCTATATCTGTTTGGCAATTTATTTTAATAACTTCGTAATATTTCTTTTTTTTATAAAATAATAAATTTGTAGTAATTTGCCTGATATGAATTAAATTAAAAATTGAGCTAATATTACAGACTACTTACACAAAGGACCATAGAAATTATTAAACGATCTTTCATAGGATTACAAAGATTTTAATTAGCGAGTCCTTGACATTTATTAATCTAGGTGTGTAACAAACGCCCGGGCGCGAGATCGATTCGACTTTAAAACGAAATAAGTACCTACGATAAATTACAACACTGGAAAAACAAAATATTTTCTTGATTATCTTTTCCACGTCAAATGGTATATTTATTAAACTTGGGTAAATCGCGTCTACTTCATGTGATTAACACAATGTTTAACAAAATGGCCGAGTACAGAAATTTCTGTGGTTGTTTCCTATTTTTTTTATTGATATATTTTCCTAGGGATCCCCGGTCCCTTAAAAAAGGCTCACCATTTACTCTCATACATATCTAATTAGAGCTCCGCTCACATCATAGAGTGGGCATTAGACAATTCTAGGGTGGACACATGAGTCATTAGCCTATTTAGCATTCTAAGTATTATCAAAAAAAAAAAAAATAATGGCGCTTAATACATTTTGCCTTCCCAGCGTCGATATGTCCTTAAGACGACCGACGCTTCATATTTGTACAAATCATCTCTCGATCAATCACGATGTCGATTTTCCCGGAACCCGATAATTATTCTGCCTCTTGCTCACAGTGAGCTCATTTATATTCGATACAATATTTTATATTATCTATTAAAATACAATTATTTATATAAATTAAAATAATAAGATATATTTTCACCAGAGGGAGACTTTGTACAAAAGTCGTTTGTTTGGATACCTTTGTTCCATTCGTGATTTTACCGTGAAGCAGTTGTGTTTGCATGGCTGTGTTTCCATTTGAAGGGATATGGCAGTGAATTTACAGGATACAAAGGTACACCTTTATCCTCACGAGTGGCAACGCATGACGGGTATCATGGGCGAAACAGTATACTTACTCTGTTATGTTAACGTACTGTTCATGTCTATAGGCGACAGTTATCACTTTCTATCAAATGGACCGTCAGCTTGTTTGTCATTCTAAATTGCATAAAAAAAGCTATAAAACATATTTTACCTGACTGCTAAAGGTAACAAGGCAATGTTTTGGGGTAAGTATTATATACTTCATTTTTACCAGATTAACAAAGTCAAAAAGGTATAATGTTTTTTTTAGTATGATATACATGTTACTGGATATAGTGTGATCTAGCCCCAAAACCAAATATTGTACAAAGGACTAGCGGCTCGATTGCTAACAAGATAACCTGTCCGGTCGACCACCACGCGATCGCCATAGAAACTATCGTGCTTGATTTGTGACGAATTCGTTACGACGAGTTAACTGATGAATTGACCTAACTTCATATTTAACTATTATATCTTACTAGTTCCTCGCTAGAGTAAATCAATAGCGCAGAGGTTGGTTATCGTTCTAGTTTCACGTTGTTTTTTTTTGTAGTATTTATAGACTATACATACGAAATAAGTACTTAATGTACATTATCGCCCGGATCTTTGGTGCAACGTGTAGCCAAAATGGCTTGAGGCACAAGGCATCTTTCAATTAGTTTTAATCACAGCAAAATAATTGACAATATAAAAAAAATTAAGAACCATATTCTGTTAAAAACTGACGAAAGTTATTTCACAATCTAATGAAACGTTATATATTTAATAATTTTAACTTTATTTACATAAAAAAAAAACTAATAAAATATAAGAT